GATTGGCTGACAGCCGTGGTATATCAGACCGTATACCACGGGTATGACAAAACATTAATTTTTACTGCTCTAATTACGTTGGTAACCAGTTTATAATAGCAATATGGCACCTCGGGGGTTTGTGGTATATGGCCAATATACCACGGCGAAGGGCTGTGTCCAGGCACTCCGCGTTGCATCGCGACTAAGAACAGCCCTTAGCCGTGGTATATTGGCCATATACCACACAATTTCAGGCCTTATTGCTTAACTACACCACTACACACAAGTGCTGGCCTGCCACATTGCATGCAGCCTGGTCCTGTGGTCCTCTGTAGCTCAGCTGGTAGAGCACGGCGCTTGTAACGCCAAGGTAATGGGTTCGATCCCCGGGACCACCCATACACAAAAATGTATGCACGCATGACTGTAAGTCGCTTTGGATAAAAGCGTCTGCTAAATGGCATATTATTTATTATATATGGCAAAAAGACAGCTTTTTCCTGTCAGCACAGCTTAACCTAAGCAAATGACCTCACGCTGTCACAGTATATATTAGATACTGTATCAAAATATGATTTGGCATGGGAGTTCACTGTGGTTACATTATCTAATGCCGGATGACATGAAAAACTTAGAGGGGCGATGCCCTGGCCTGCCCACCTGAATTTACACACACACACACACACAGAGAGACCTACCTACCTACCTCTAGGATTCAGCAGAATTGTTGCCATGACATTTCTGCTGTGACTCCCCAAAGACAAATATAACTCGGCACAATAATTTATCTGAGTAAATCTGTTATTCTCTGGCAGACTTAGTTGAAATCACAACAGCATGATATCAGTCCAGTCCTGTGCACTGGGGAGCTATGGAGTTCACAGGGTAAATACAAATTCACTGTACATGTGATTTGGGTTCTGTCAAGAAAGGCAGATGCTATATTTGACCGTTGTTGAGTTGACTATTGTAGAGTGGACATAAATCAAAAGTGGACGAGTTGGTTGCGTGGTTACAAAGATGTTGCCAACGTCAACTCCACTTCCTGAAAGAGGGTGTTTCTGGGTGTCTGATCGGCAGCGTTAATAAGACGTTATGGTATAATAATGTGTTAGGCTAGCTGCCTCACCTTTAATACTGTTGTTGTTGAGTTGGGAAAAATTCCTCTTGTCAGCAGAAGAGAAGGGAAGTCCTACCATTTTGGGAGGACATCAACAGCCTACCACACAGTCTCCTAATGAGAGGGAATTAAACCATGCTGGATGCTGAGCTGGCTGTCATGGCCTGACTGACTTTGACCTTTCACCTAAATTGTTACTTCAGGAAGTTTGGGGCCCCTCTATTTCTCAATAGAGTTGTGCTGATGCTGGCTTGTCTCACATCATCATGCCATAGTGTGTGTGTGTGTGTGTGTGTGTGTGTGTGTGTGTGTGTGTGTGTGTGTGTGTGTTAAGAGTTGGTTATGGAGTTAGTGAGTGGGTGTGTGTGTGTGTCTGGCAGGAGTTGGTTATGGAGTTAGTGAGTGGGTGTGTGTGTGTGTCTGGCAGGAGTTGGTTATGGAGTTAGTGAGTGGGTGTGTGTGTGTGTCTGGCAGGAGTTGGTTATGGAGTTAGTGAGTGGGTGTGTGTGTGTGTCTGGCAGGAGTTGGTTATGGAGTTAGTGAGTGGGTGTGCCTGATAAGAGTTGTATGCCTGCTGTCTTTATAATCATGTCAGTGTAGTAATGAGAGACATGGAGATGGAGGCCATGTGTTGACAGAATGTGGCAGAGTGGTTATGGGTAGCCTACTACTGTATAAAGGCAGGGGATGTGTCTTAGAAGTCTGTCTCAGGCTGTTGAATTATGATATTGTTTTATTGACAACTGACTTAATGCCCTTGAGTAAAGCTCAATACATCAACTACACCACAGCACACCAACTACAGCACACAACGGCACACCACAGCACACCTACCAACCACAGCACACCTACCAACCACAGCACACCCACCACATCACACCTACCAACCACAGCACACCCACCACATCACACCTACCAACCACAGCACACCCACCACATCACACCTACCAACCACAGCACACCCACCACACCACAGCACAGCACACCCACCACACCACACCACAGCACACTCAGCACACCTACCAACCACACCACACCACACCCACCACACATTTTACATTTTACATTTTAGACATTTAGCAGACGCTCTTATCCAGAACGACTTACAGTTAGTGAGTGCATACATTTTCAAACTGGCCCCCCGTGGGAAACGAACCCACAACCCTGGCGTTGCAAGCGCCATGCTCTACAGCACACCCACCCAACACAGCACACCCACCACACCACACCAAACTCAGCACACCTACCAACCACAGCACACCCACCACACCACACCACACTCAGCACACCAACCAACCACAACACACCACTCCACATCACACTACATAGTCTGTCCTTGAGTTGAGTCAGAAGACTCATGCATGTGTTTTTGTTTTCCACCCCAACTACTAAATGTTAGGTTTTAATCTCAGCAGCAATTGTTCAAAACTACAGTAGGAGATATGTACACATTATGAGTTGATTTGGATACTGTACAATAATATACTATACAAGAATACAATCATGGTGTTGTAAGGAGCTTTTTTTTATTCTAGCCCTAACATCCCAACTCAAAGTTGTATGTTTACAGTTGGTCTTTAATATTGCCAACCCATGGAACATCCAGTCTAGACTCACATTCCTTAGCCATACAGTACATAAAGGTGTGGAGCATACCAGATGTATTCTTGAGTGATGACCATTGTATTATGTAACTCTCCTGGCGAACTCTCCACTGGAGCAGTGGTGTTATCGGTGTTTTATGCCCTGCCTCCTGCGTAGTTCACCAAAATAACAGTTTAGTAATTTGGGTGAACTATCCTTTTACCAGGAGCCCACTCACACTGCCTAGTCTCATACCATGTGGTCACTGAACGTGTTAGGAGGATTTGCAGCCACATGGCTCTGAAGGTCAGGACCTGGGCGGGACGCAGGCAGGTGGGAGGAGAGCAGCATGCAAATGAACATAGAGCAAAGTCCAACCAGTTAGAGAGCCACAGCCCAGAGCCACACACGATTACACAGTGTGGTAAACACATCACATTTTATACCAAATTCACACTCCATTCACAAGAGGAAAGTTGACAAAAATGGTGTGGGTGGGAAACTATATAAACGGTGCTAGACTGAAATAAAACGACAGACTGCAGTCAGACTGGGAGTTCCTGTTGGCTAGCATCACATGGCAGTGCCCCTCAAAGACTCCCAACTCCACACAATACAGCCCTGTTGTGCCACACACACACACACCCACAAACACCCACACACCCACACACACACACACACACACACACACACACACACACACACACACACACACACACACACACACACACACACACACACACACACACACACACACACACACACACACTTTACACAGGCAGACTGCAGCACAGTTTTGCTACTGAGGGACATTTCATGTATTTTCTTTACAGCAGAGTAGGAGGTAGGGGACCAATGACATGGTGGATTAACGGGTCTATAACCAGAGTAGTTGAGCATCTCATAGAAAGATGGTATTGTCGTTGGTAGGGGACCAATGACATGGTGGATTAACGGGTCTATAACCAGAGTAGTTGAGCATCTCATAGAAAGATGGTATTGTCGTTGGTAGGGGACCAATGACATGGTGGATTAACGGGTCTATAAACAGAGTAGTTGAGCATCTCATAGAAAGATGAGATGTGAGACAAATTAGGATGCTTGCTCTATTTCTGTCTCTCTCTGTATCTCTTTCTCTCTGCCTGTCTCGTTCGGTTTGTCTCTCTGTCGGTCGGTCTCTCTGTCTCTCTCTGTCTGGTGTTTTAGTATTTTCTCAGACACCAAGAGACACACAGATACCCCCCCCCCCCCCCCCCCCTCTCTCCTTGCACGCACACACACAAACACACACACCCCTCTCTCTTTATTCACTCCATTCTACTGTCTGTAAGATTTTCCGCTTGATCCGTTTGCATGGCTGTTGGTTTGGCAGAGTCTTTGTACAGCTCCCATACTAGTCTTTAAGGGAAAACAATGGGCTGATCTAGTAGCCAAGGAGTACCAATTGGCACATTATTACCCACAAATACAATGGTGTTATTGAAGCTGCTGTCTCTCTCTCTCTCTCTCTTTCTCTCTCTCTCTCTCTCTCTCTCTCTCTCTCTCTCTCTCTCTCTCTCTCTTCCTCTCTCCTTCATCCTCTCTTCCTCTTCAGTAGTGTGAATGACTCTAGAACAGGGATTATCAACTAGATTCAGGCGCAGGACGATTTATTTTCTTGAGCGGATGGTCGGGGTGCCGGAACATAATTACAAATAATTTGTAGACTGCAAAGTGACCACAAGAAGCCCAAACAGATATAATGTTTCACTAAAAATGAATTATTTCAAACCTTGCTTACATTTGTTTATGATCACGTCTCTCTCTATTATGCATTGAAATACATGGGAACAGTTTTCCCAAGTTAATATCACTTGGAGCTGATTTACTGGTGTTTTTTTATTTTTTATGTCCAACAATGAAAATAATAATACCAAAAGAACAATACAAAAAAACAAACACGAAGGCCAAATTCGGCCCCAGCGGGTCGCCAGTTGGGGAACACCACTCTAGAACCTCTCTCTCCCCTCCTTCTTCCACACACATTCCTCAGTAGTGTGAATGACTCTGATACCCATTGAGGACTTTGATAGATGTTTTTACTCAATCAGTGACCAACACCATAATGACTGGGTCATTCTGCCCCTCCAAAAGCTCATGAGATCAACGTTTGTGTGGGTGTGTGTGTGTGTGTTTGTGTCACACTCGCCTGAAATGTCTCTGCCTGCTCTCCTCTGTTCTTATACCTCTCAATATGTCCACTCTTTCTCTCAGCTACCTTTTGATAATATCTGTTTTGTCGTACACCTCGAAGAGTTTCTCCTCTCCTCTGTTTCAGACACTCGTCTGCTGAGATCAGGAGACACTTTGGTGGGAACTATGGCTCTCCTCAGGTCTCCAAGCAACACAGTCGTCATGGCTCCAACGCATCAGTCTCCACGTGCTCCACCGTGGTGAGTTACAGAACTACTACTACTGTACAACTAACTATACCCTTTCATGGATAGCAGCAAATAGCACTATGGTGTACTATTTAGCTCCACTTAGGAGAAAGATTCTGACTGAGACTCTCCGATGTTGTGCTGTAGGCCTAAAAACGTAATCCTAAAGAGGGATTTTGTCCCAAAAGGGTGTGACCCCTCACTTAGTCTCTCTCTCTCTCTCTCTCTCTCTCTCTCTCTCTCTCTCTCTCTCTCTCTCTCTCTCTCTCTCTCTCTCTCTCTCTCTCTCTCTCGCTCTCTGTCTCTCGCTCTCTGTCTCTCGCTCTCTGTCTCTCTCTCGCTCTCTGTCTCTCTCTCGCTCTCTGTCTCTCGCTCTCTGTCTCTCGCTCTCTGTCTCTCGCTCTGTCTCTCGCTCTCTCTCTCTCTCTCTCTCGCTCTCTCTCTCTCTGTCTCTCTGTCTCTCTGTCTCTCTGTCTCTCTGTCTCTCTGTCTCTCTCTCTCTCTGTCTCTCTGTCTCTCTGTCTCTCTGTCTCTCGCTCTCTCTCTCTGTCTCGGTCTCTCTCAGTCTGTCTCTGTCTCTGTCTCTCTCTCTCTCTCTCTCTGTCTCTCTGTCTCTCTGTCTAGTTTTAAGTGCACTAATACCTCTCTACAGTGAGGGAAAAAAGTATTTGATCCCCTGCTGATTTTGTACATTTGCCCACTGACAAAGAAATGATCAGTTTATAATTTTAATGGTAGGTTTATTTGAACAGTGAGAGACAGAATAACAACAAAAAGATCCAGAAAAATGCATGTAAAAAACGTTATAAATGTATTTGCATTTTAATGAGGGAAATAAGTATTTGACGACCTCTCAATCAGAAAGATTTCTGCCTCCCAGGTGTCTTTTATACAGGTAACGAGCTGAGATTAGGGGCACACTCTTAAAGGGAGTGCTCCTAATCTCAGTTTGTTACCTGTATAAAAGACACCTGTCCACAGAAGCAATCAATCAATCAGATTCCAAACTCTCCACCATGGCCAAGACCAAAGAGCTCTTCAAGGATGTCAGGGACAAGATTGTAGACCTACACAAGGCTGGAATGGGCTACAAGACCATCGCCAAGCAGCTTGGTGAGAAGGTGACAACAGTTGGTGCGATTATTTGCAAATGGAAGAAACACAAAATAACTTTCAATCTCCCTCGGCCTGGGGCTCCATGCAAGATCTCACCTCGTGGAGTTGCAATGATCATGAGAACGGTGAGGAATCAGCCCAGAAATACACGGGAGGATCTTGTCAATGATCTCAAAGCAGCTGGGACCATAGTCACCAAGAAAACAATTGGTAACACACTACGCCGTGAAGGACTGAAATCCTGCAGCGCCCGCAAGGTCCCCTTGCTCAAGAAAGCACATATACAGGCCCGTCTGAAGTTTGCCAATGAACATCTGAATGATTCAGAGGAGAACTGGGTGAAAGTGTTGTGGTCAGATGAGACCAAAATCGAGCTCTTTGGCATCAACTCAAATCGGCGTGTTTGGAGGAGGAGGAATGCTGCCTATGACCCCAAGAACACCATCCCCACCGTCAAACATGGAGGTGGAAACATTATGCTTTGGGGGTGTTTTTCTGCAAAGGGGACAGGACAACTTCACCGCATCAAAGGGAGGATGGACGGGGCCATGTACAGTCAAATCTTGGGTGAGAACCTCCTTCCCTCAGCCAGGGCATTGAAAATGGGTCGTGGATGGGTATTCCAGCATGACAATGACCCAAAACACACGGCCAAGGCAACAAAGGAGTGGCTCAAGAAGAAGCACATTAAGGTCCTGGAGTGGCCTAGCCAGTCTCCAGACCTTAATCCCATAGCAAATCTGTGGAGGGAGCTGAAGGTTCGAGTTGCCAAACGTCAGCATCGAAACCTTAATGACTTGGAGAAGATCTGCAAAGAGGAGTGGGACAAAATCCCTCCTGAGATGTGTGCAAACCTGGTGGCAAACTACAAGAAACGTCTGACCTATGTGATTGCCAACAAGGGTTTTGCCACCAAGTACTAAGTCATGTTTTGCAGAGGGGTCAAATACTTATTTCCCTCATTAAAATACAAATCAATTTATAACATTTTTGACATGCATTTTTCTGGATTTTGTTGTTGTTATTCTGTCTCTCACTGTTCAAATAAACCTACCATTAAAATTATAGACTGATCATGTCGTTGTCAGTGGGCAAACGTACAAAATCAGCAGGGGATCAAATACTTATTTCCCTCACTGTATATTCACCAGGCTTTAGGCGTCAAGTCTTTGTGTCTCTGACTGTCTGACTCACTGACTCTAGGCTTGAGCCCTTAGATATTTCTCTCTCTGCTGCTAGTCAGCTGACTAGGCCAGAGGAGGGAGAGTTGGCCCATCCCCTAGTTATTATGGTTAAGCTCTAGCCTGCTTGGGAAATAGGTCAGGGCCCAGGCTACTGTAGAGGGATGGGACGGCCTGCTTACCTTCCAGCTTACACAGGCAAATCTGTTATATCTGTGAATTTGCGATGCGGGAGAGCGGTTTTTAATACCATAATCTAATGATATTTTCCCCTGGTGCACCATCGGTGGAGGAGATCAGTGGAGCTGCAGGCAGATGTGTGGGATGATGGTTATTTGTATGATTCATCTCTCTATTTGTAGGACTTATAATGATGAGTATTGTTATTAGTAAGTCATTTCCAAAATGATGGATCACGTGTGTGTGTGTTTGTTACGCTTGTCTGTGCATGCCCACTTTTGTCAGAGTGTACACTTGCTCGTTTGTGTGGTGGGGTTCTATCTCTAGAAACACAGAAGCTGATTGGAGGAGGCCTTGTTGATTTCACTTCCTGTAGACAAGTGTTTTACCTCACTTTAACTTAATGCTGCTCCGTACCTAATCAACTCCTGGTCACTTCCCTTACCTTCTTCACGTAGGGACCTTAAACCATTAGATGGGTATTAAGGATGATGGCTCCACTTTGCCCCCTGAAAGGCTAGGACTAGGTTCCACCATATTGCTTATACCTATCCAATCCTTTTACATCTACCGAAGTGTCTTGGGGTAGGGGCTAGGAGTCACTTTGGAGTTGTCTGAGTCTTGCAAGAGCTTGTGGTTAACTCTTCTAGAGGAAGAGAGTTGTCAGAAACCAGTAACCGCCAGTAGTCTGCACAGTCTGTAGGTTCTTGTTTCCGGAATGCGCCATTTTGTCAACTTCCCTCTTACATGTTGAGTATTTAGCGGGGTAAGTCTACTTCCAATTCAGTGTACCTGTGTTCTATTTCTACTAACGGTCACCTAGAGACCTACACTTTTCTGTTTAAAATATGTGAAGCATCCAGTGTTGTGAGGTTGGAGGCAGGTAATGTGGTGTTAGACTGCGTATTTGGTACAGACTGTGTTCAGGGTTTCAGCTTGGGGAAGTAGGTTATGGGTTGTTCATTAGGCTGAAATTACACATTGCAGAGTTGGATAGTATAACTGTCTTACTGTTAGGGATAGGCAAGATGTATCCTCAAATATATTTTTGACAAAATACAAAACACCCTCGAGTCAAGACAAAACCAAAAATACATATGTGTATATTTTGTATAAAAAATACACTATTTTACAAGTATTGTCAAATATAATAACAAAATGCACAAAGTCATTGAAACATGTATTCCAGCGTTAGCGTTATTGCTTGCTGCTTCAGGAGAAACACTGAGGTAGTCTAATAGTCTGACTGCTGGTAGGGACAACAGCCTGTTGCTGGACCAGCTGAGAGCATTGCTCCATAGCGCAGCATGCCTGGGAGTTGGGACAGAGGCATGCATACATTTTAATTTATTTGTTTCATTTGGCTCCCATGCTAAGGAAGGGAAAGATAATATATATTATGGAAGGAGATATGTAGCCATGATTCCCCAAGCATTAAAATGTCTGGGGTTCACTAAAAGAAGTGAGGGAGTATTAGGACGCTTGTCCAGATTCACTCCTCACACTACAAGCTATGACGCCTTGATCCATCTGGTAAAGACATACCATTTATTTTGAACGCATCATCAATCTCTTTTGGTCTGTTTTCTGGTCTCGGCTTTCACCTCTTTGTTTTACACTCTGTTGCATTCTCTCTCTCTCTGTCTCTCTCTCTCATTCTCTCTATGTCTCTCTCTCGGTCTCTCTCTGTCTCTCTCTCTCCTCTCTCTCTCTCTGTCTCTCTCTCTCGCTCTCTCTTTCTCTCTCTCTCTCTCTCTCTTTCTCTCTCTCTCTCTCTCTCTCTCCCCATTTGACACCTGGCTGTCATGTAAATTAGTCTTGTTGCTGAGAGCAGCATTTAAAAAAACAGATGGTAACACAACAGTTCACTTTCCTTTTCTGGGCATAAGGCTGGATGTGTGAAGTTGTTGCATTGACTGTGTATATTGCTGTAACAATGTGATGTGATTTAAAGGGAACATGATTTTCGCTCTAGTTTGTAGAGTGCTGATTTATAGGTATTCATCTATTGTGTGATCTAAGCTTTTCTGAAGTGCTCTCCAGATTATCCTCCATTCAGATCTTTGCTTGAGTTGGCAGATTTCTGAGCCACACTTCACACATTACTATATAGTAACTGAACTACTGTGTATGCAACCTCACAGTTAATGCTCTAGTGATGTAATTAGAACAGAATTGGCAAGTTCCCTTTTATACCATTCAGTTATTGTTTTGTGCGTGTGTGTGTCTTACAGCTTCCATGTGAAGAGTAATTCCATTGAACACCACAGTAGTTACGGAGTTAACTACACGGCACAACACCAACTTAACAAGAACTGTTGTCGGTTTTTGTCTGAAATGATGTTACACACGTGATACTTCTCTCCTCTGATCTGCATTTGACAGAGGTCTTTATGTCAATCATATGAGCTGTCATGAGGGGGACTCAGTCACCCCTTAGAATAGGGAGTTAGGATAGGGGGATAGTTGCCCAGGGGTTGCAGTATGGTTGCAGAGGGTTAGACTCTTATGAAGAGGATTGATAGACTAACATGATCAGAAATTAACCATTAAAAACATATATCTAAATACAAATATATACACAAACATGCAAGCACACAAATATACACAATACACATTACATGTACAGTTTAAATCTAAAGTTTCTATGTAAAGTTCCTACACCATTTTCTCTGTATATTAGCTCAGTCCTCTCGTTCCTTGACAGGTCTGAGGTTGTTGAGAGCAGAGTCGTGATCCAACCTGTCCTCCTTCTCCTCACAGCTCTCTAATATCTGGAATGACTGAGGGCTATATAAACTCACTCTCTCTCTCTCTCTCTCTCTCTCTCTCTCTCTCTCTCTCTCTCTCTCTCTCTCTCTCTCTATGTCTCTCTCTCTCTATGCTTCTCTCTCTCTCTCTCTCTATGCCTCTCTCTATGCCCCTCTCTCGCTCTCTCAATTTCTCTCTCTGCCTCTCTCTCTCTCTATGCCTCTCTCTCTCCCCCCCCCCCCCCTCCCCCCCCCCTCTCTCTCTATCAATGATACATTTAGATGCACTACAGTGGTTTATTCATAACCTTAAGAATGCCATCATGTAGTTGCGTGGTATCTTTGTGTCTTAACCGTTTCCTGCCTTCTGCATGCAAATATTTCTCTCTCTATTTTCTACATCTACCGCTCTCTCTCTGTCACCATCTCTGTCACCGTCTCTGTCACCGTCTCTGTCACCGTCTCTTTCTCCCGTTCTCTACTTCCTCTCTGATTCAGAGGGGTTAAGGGTTAAAGGCGGATTTCAGTTGAATGCATTCAGTTGTACAACTGACTAGGTATCTCCCTTTCCCTATACACTGAGTGCACAAAACATTAAGAACACCTTCCTAATATTGAATTGCACCCCCCCTTTTGCCCTCAGAACAGCCTAAATTCGTTGGGGCATGGACTCTACAAGGTGTCGAAAGCATTCCACAGGGATGCTGGCCCATGTTGACTCCAATGCTTCCCACAGTTGTCAAGTTGGCTGGATGTCCTTTGGGTGGTGGACCATTCTTGATCCACACAGGAAACTGTTGAGCGTGAAAAACCAAGCAGCATTGCAGTTCTTGACACAAACCGGTGCACCTGGCACCTACTACCATATCCTGTTCAAAAGGCATTTAAATCTTTTGTCTTTCACATTCACCCTGAATGGCACACATACACAATCCATGTCTCAATCTCAATCCTTCTTTAACCTGTCTCCTCCCCTTCATCTACACTGATTTGAAGTGGATTTAACAAGTGACATCAATAATGTGATGGATGACAAGTTAATGTATATGTCATGGAAAGAGCAAGTGTTGATAATGTTTTGTACACTTGGTGTATATAATAGTATGATATCTGTCTGTCTAATTACCCCTTTCCCTTCTCTCTCTGTCTCTCCAGCCCCAGTCGTATGACGCGGTTGAGCCGTTGGACCTGGAAGAGTTTCTGATGTCACAGCTGCGGAGTGGAGACTCCGCCCTCATGCAGGAGCTTGGAGATTTCCCTGATGATGACCTGGAAGTAGAACTGGTGGAGAAGGAGTGTCGGACCGTACGCCACTCTGTACCAGAGGAGGGGTGGGTCGCATGGTCACATGATCAATATAGAATAAACTCAACCATACATGTTACCAGATGACTTATGCCTATCAGATCCCCACAGATCTAGGAGAGAGCAGGGATGGTCTAGAGTTCTGGATTAGGCATTGATTTAAGCCTGGCTATTAGTCCAATAGTCCCAGTAACTTTCTCCATTATGAACCTATATCTGTGTCCAGATGACGCCCCACCCACTAGTTCCCTAGGTCCCACTATGATGGCTTATCATGTAATAGAACAAGCATACCTCAGAAGGCTATTACAACCCAAGAGGGTGTGAAATAGTGAAAATATTCTGTCAGTGGTATCTTAGTGTTTTAGGATTGTCACTCACCTTGAACATGATGGTACAGATAGTGCTGATGAGATAGGAATGCAGAATGAGGGAAACAGATTGTGTGTGCGTAATGAGTGTGTATGTGTGTGCTTAACATCCTTCTCATTCCCTCTCTGGCCTCCTGTATTTCTATAGGGTGGAGTTGGATTCCCATGTCAGGGACTGTGTTCAGAGTTACACCCAGCCCTGGCTGATGGTCAGCAGGAGGTAAGCTTCCTTTGATCAACTCTTAGACACATTCAGGGTCTGCTTTCTTTCCTAATCTCCTTTCCCTTATGACTACTGACCTGTAAAATGCTAGATATGTGTACGCTAGTGGTCACTAACCCTGGACCTGGAGAGCTACTTGGTGTGCAGGCTTGGGCCAGCATGTGGCTCAGTCATCAGGACCAGGGTTGAAGACCACTGGTGCAGACAATACAGTGGAAACCTATGCAGTGGTTTATACAGAGGAAACCTATGCAGTGGTTTCTTTCTCAGATGCAGCACCATAGGTGGGTGTGTGGGTGTCTGTCTGTCTGTCTGTCTGTCTGTCTGTCTGTCTGTCAACATAGAGATGTCTGAGAGACCGTGATAACCCCTCTGTCTATCTTCACACATACCACACACTGATTACTTATCACAGCCTAGGCCCACTATCTACTATTGGTACACACACACACACACTCACACACAGTCTCCTGGTCAGGGTGTTCATCCACATCCTGGGGTTCTGTGTGTATGTGGGGGGTGGAATACTACATATTTTCTGCTCTGATCAGATAAAAATGGCACTGGTTTATCAGTAACTGTGTGTGTGTGTGTATGTGTGTGTGTGTGTGTGTGTGTGTGTGTGTGCACGCAGGTGCCAGGGAGATGGTTGGAGTGCATATTCAGAGCGGGCAAGTCTACACAAAACTCTGCAGAAACAGACATTTGAGTCCGATGTCCAGCCAGAGAAACTAGAGACACCGGTAAGCACAAAATATACACAACAATGCATACCCAACAACAACAGCAAAGGGCATAAAAAAATAAATCAGGGTTTGGGTCCATAAGGAGCAGTTTTGTCAGTCCCATTGTTATCAGAGGACCAGAGTGTATTCAGAGTATACAGTAGTAGGACATGCAGGTATCAGATCCAAAGATTACATTACGGAAGGAAATAAACAGAGTAACATGATACCCTGGGTATTCTATCAGAGAAAGATAACATGAAACCTGAATACTAGAGTTGTTTCAAGCTACATCTCCTGACTCCTCGGATTGATAGATATAGATTGTCTTTTAGTTTTAGAATCTCTGTTCTGGTGAGAAAATTCTAATCGGTGTGCAATGAAAGGAGAGAAAGAAGGAGAGACAAGGAGAGAAAAGGAGAGAGAGAACAGAGAGAGGGAACCATAGACAGCGAGACAGAGCGAGGGGAGGGATTGGGCAGCACAACACTGAACACAGAAGTGTTTTTGTTATTCCTATGACCTCCATCCTGGCACCGTCTCCCTCATGTCTACCCAGCCTGCCCTGCACACAATGAGACGTGAATATTCATGCAGTCCCCCTCTGCTTCCGACCAGCCCCAGCCAGCATCCAGCTCTCTGTCCTGCCAAATCTCCAGCCAGCACCCAGCCAACCCCTGCTCCAGCCCCCTGCTCCAGCCCCCCACCTCTGTCAGTCCATGGTCCCGAGCTCAAATCTGGCCCCTGACAGTGAAGTCCAACTCCCAAGTCCCAAGGTCCACCAGCCCCAGCAAGCCCTAGCTAACCCCAGCCTCCAGCCAGTTCTACTGTCTCTCCAGCCAAATTGTCTTCAGCCCTAGCTCCTCATCCCCAGCCCCAGGCTCATTCCCAGCCCCAGGCTCATTCCCAGCCCCAGGCTCATCCCCAGCCCCAGGCTCATCCCCAGCCCCATCCCCAGCCCCATCCCCAGCCTCATCCCCCAGCCTCATCCCTAGCCCCATCCCCAGCCCCAGCCCCAGCCCCCAGCCTTACCAAGTCATAATCACCCAAACCAAAGGCCCTTGTTCCAGCCGTGTTTTTCCCATCCGCTCTAGGCCAAAGAGAGAGAGAGGGGAAGAACCGGCCTATTGTCACTCAGCCTCTAATGGTCCCCTGCTTCACACTGCAACACTCTGGTGGTCATTAGCAAGGGTGGGATAGGGGCACAGCTAATCAGTGGTGGGGGTGTGGAGGTTAGATGGAAGATGGATGGATGTTTCCTCTTAAGTTTTAGGATTGTTGAAGAAGCCAACATATTTGAGTAATTCAAACCAAATATTTTAAACCAAATGAGGCAAATTTACTGCAGGATTGCAACAGAGAAGAGGGATGAAGGGTGAGGGGGTGCTGTGAGGAGGAAGGGGGTTGGTAGGGGTGATGGTGGTGGTGGTTGAAAGCAGGACACAGCCTGAGAATCCAGAGCTGTCCAGTCATGTAGCTCAGTTGGAGTCTAATTCCATATGGACGTAATACCCCCTGATTAACTATGACCTCTCCATGGTGGTAGGAGGCACCATTTTACTCAGAAGTTACTGGGCTTCCCTGGAGTTGAAACCCGTTAGTTATGGATTCCATGAGTTTGTCTTGATTCTCTTGATGTTCACACACAGTTAATCACCTATGGACGTCTTATCGCTCCACTGCCATAGCATAGCAAGTTACCGGCCTATACACTTAAAGTTCTGCAATTATTTGGAACACTGATTTAGGCCTACATGCAATAAACTTTAGTTTGGGAGAAGTAACATTATTTTGTTGGGAGAATTCAACATTATTTTGGGATGTTGTCTCTCTCCCATCCTCTTCCGACCTCCTCACCCTCCCTGTCCTCCTCTCTCTCCTAATACCAGTCATAATTATTACAGGTGAAGTCCCCCTCCCTGGCGGTACTGAGTGATGACTCCAGCAGGACACTGACCTCCTCTGACTTTGACCTCCGCTCTGGTCTGACCCCTGACCCCAGAGTGGAGGGGCTGCTGCACTTCAGTAACCATGACGACCTGGACAGGTTGAACCAGGAAGCCCGGCAGGGGAACCGCCACCCAGAGCTGTTTGCCCTGTACCCAACCGCCGACGAGGTGAGAGAGGGAGACACACGCATGAATACAGTGCATGCTTCTGTGCATGCTTGACTTGAATTGAGTGGCTGGATCCATGACATTCCTCTGGTATTCCAGGATGATGCAGTGGAGATCCGGCCCATTCCCGACTGTCCCAAAGAGCACATGGGAGACAGGATCATCATCCGGTGCCAGGCCATCAAGTATGGGAATTACACTACCTTTCACAGAAGGAAAATAACTGTATGCCTCTAGCTAACTAGCTACATGTATGTGAGAATCAACATATTGTGTGGGATAGGGTGGCAGAGGGAGGGGAGGAGTGTAGCCCACAGAAAGTTTGTGTGAGAAGGAGTAGATTATCCCACATTATGAATAATGGGGAAATGTTCCCTTTCTCTCCCTGTCTTACACTCTTTCTGTGGGCTAGTATCTCTGTCTGTCTCTCTCGTTCTCGTTCTCTCTCTCTCTGTTCTCTCTCTCTCGCTGTCTCTCTCTTTCTCTGTTTCTGTTCTCTCTCTTTCTGCCTCTCCCACACCATAAAGCTGCTTTCAGCTAAGTTCTGCATCATCTCTAAGCAGTGTTTTGGCAGCTGCCTGTCCCAACTTTCAGTTGGGCTCATTACTCGATTGGCTCAGTTCCAAGTCTAAGTGCTATGCGAGTGCATGCACCAACATTTCATGTTGCTGTTGCATCTGTTGAGTATCCTGAGTTGATAAATAGAATCAAATCAAATGTATTCATCACATACACAGTTTACAGCAGCTATAAAAGGTGCAGCGAAATACTTATGTGCTAGCTCCCTCAACAATGCAGAACATTATAGAATAGAAAAAAGGTCATTATATGTCAGGCTTATTGATGATGTTTGCTGGCTGGTCGACACACTGCCGTGAAATGACAGTCTGATATATTTTCTCCCCTATCCTCCGTAGGTTTGAGATTGACATCGAACCACTGTTTGCTACCCTGGCTCTGTATGACCTGAGAGAGAAGAAAAAGGTATGTTTCCTTCTGAAGGGTTTTGTGCTTTTTTAGAATGCTGTATTCTTTGGCCCGCTGTGTGTTATGAGGTCATGAAGAATTGCATGCCTTCATGTTGTTGAAGCTTGAAGTTGTTGGAGGTTAATGCGTGTTAAGGACAAGACTCACCATAGCAAACGTTGGCCGTGCGCAGTAGGTCACGTGCTGCTTGTCGGCGAACAGTGGCGATTCAACATGTACAATCGTCAGGAAATGAACAGAAAATGATGGCCGATGTTCTGGTCAGTTCGTCGGCACGGTTTGTTTTATCTTTTAGGTGATCTCATGACCAGTGTGTCAGGTTTGTGTTGGTGGTCAGTGAAGTGGTGGATCAGTGGGATGTCCCAAGACTTTAGCCACAGTAGACAGAATGTCCGGAAGCACTGGGACTGAGCAGCTTCTCCAGTAGACCAATCATAGCCGTGTTCATACAAACAACCCATCTGATTCACACTGTACTCTCCTATCCAAACACAACTCTGTTAGCCAAAGCTAGTAGCATGTGTGTTATGGACTTGCACAGCTGGATGGTTTTTGGATTGAAGTTTTAGGCTTCAAGGGCACCACATTTGGATTTGTGCCACTGACCTTTTGGTCATCTGGCCACACTGCATCCTGGTTGGGCAGTCTGAAAGTGTTACGGTCTTTTTGTACTGCTTTTCCCTTTATTATGCACTGGGAACCAGGTGATGCTGTTCTCCATAATATCCATAGGGCAAAATGTGTTATTGTGGAGGTTAACACTCTAACACTCCTCCTTATTGAATTCATTAGAGGAGGAGGCAGATGGGCCTGAAAAAGGCACCATGTTGTAGGCCAATGAAACATCCCTCTGTTATGAACCAGGATGACATACTGTCCAGCATGTTGAACTAATTACACTTGACATGACTCAATCTGGAACAGAGGGGTTTGGTGACTGAGGTTCTGTCTCTCTCTCTGTCTCTCTCTCTCTCTGTCTGTCCCTGTGTCTGTCCCTGTCTGTCTGTATTTCCCTCTCTATCTATCTCTCTCTCTCTTTCTGTCTCTGTCCCTCTATTTCTCTCTTTGTCCCTCTATTTCTCTCTTTCACCATCTCTCTACTGTTTCTATGCAGTGAAATGCAGTGTTGTAATGCGGTTTTGGTTTCACATCTGGGAAATATGCAGCAGATGTTGATATAATTCCTTGGAAACATTTCTCTAATCCTGTCCTGCTCTGACCGACTGACAGAGGGTTACAGTACACACTACCAAAACCATGGGTATATGAAAGATTATTACAGCGAAGATGGTTATGATTATTAGGCCTACCAGGGTGTGTGTATTGTAGGCCTACAGTAGAAATATTATCATACTAATCATGGTGCATACAGGGGATTGTGAGGTTTATGCCAGATGTTTAGAACACAGCCAGCAATCATCAGCTGTGCTGCATTTCATCAAAATTAAAATGAAGTCCTGTGGAACTCTTGGCTTTTTAAAGTTAACACACTGCTATGCTGTCACTATGTAGACCACATGAACTGTTGAAATGTGAAGTGTTGACCCAAATATACGCACACACACACAAACTTCCCCACCCAACACATTTAGAACTGTCACTCTCTTCTGACTGCTTGAGATTAAACTTGAGAGACTGAGGAAGAAATCCATGCTGTGTTAGGTTGTGTGCCAGCAGCAGCATCAGTCCTGCTATGAAGTGTTAAAGACTGTTGTAGAGGACTCATATTGTGACATGTGCAATGAGGAAGTTGTAAATTGGTTGGTAATGGGACCTCACATGACACTCACAGCATACAGGGTCACCGTAGGGTCATCCTCTTCTCAGGACACAGTCACAAGGGAGGAGCCATAGAAACAGAGGCTCTTTCTCAATTTGTCTTTCCTCGATTCGTTACACCCTCTCTCCTTGCCTCCTTCTCAAAGCGTATTGGACGAAGAGATCCTATGTCCATCCCCTCTAACCTTTTTTCCTCTAATGAATTTTGAGAAGGAGGTAGGTGATGAGAGAGGACGTGAGGAATCAAGGAAAGATTAATTAAGAAAGAGACAGAATGTAAGGACATCACTTTGAGACATTACATTCACTGAAAACACTTTATGTGAAATCTCTGCCTGGGACAGTTAGCATGTCATATCTATGACAGTGTTATGTAGGCTGTATGCTGTATGATGATGGGTACATGTAAAGTGTTACGAAACATTTAATAATGACACAGCTGAGAAATAATCTCAACTCATTATGTAGCCTTTATAAGGCTTTATAAATGCATTCATAAGGACACTTACAGTAAAGTGTTCCATAACTTCGTATCCAGAATACCACAGTAATGTTGTTTGGTTATTGCTAGAGCCAGTGTACTGTCTGTGGTATTATAGTAGGGCCAGAGTACTGTCTGTGGTATTATAGTAGGGCCAGAGTACTGTCTGTGTTGTATTATAGTAGGGCCAGAGTACTGTCTGTGGTATTATAGTAGGGCCAGAGTACTGTATGTGGTATTATAGTAGGGCCAGAGTACTGTCTGTGTTGTATTATAGTAGGGCCAGAGTACTGTCTGTGGTATTATAGTAGGGCTAGAGTACTGTCTGTGTGGTATTATAGTAGGGCCAGAGTACTGTCTGTGTTGTATTATAGTAGGGCCAGAGTACTGTCTGTGGTATTATAGTAGGGCCAGAGTACTGTCTGTGGTATTATAGTAGGGACAGAGTACTGTCTGTGGTATTATAGTAGGGCCAGAGTACTGTCTGTGGTATTATAGTAGGGCCAGAGTACTGTCTGTGGTATTATAGTAGGGCCAGAGTACTGTCTGTGGTATTATAGTAGGGCCAGAGTACTGTCTGTGGTATTATAGTAGGGCCAGAGTACTGTCTGTGGTATTATAGTAGGGCTAGAGTACTGTCTGTGTGGTATTATAGTAGGGCCAGAGTACTGTCTGTGTGGTATTATAGTAGGACCAGAGTACTGTCTGTGTGGTATTATAGTAGGACCAGAGTACTGTCTGTGGTATTATAGTAGGGCTAGAGTACTGTCTGTGTGGTATTATAGTATGGCCAGAGTACTGTCTGTGGTATTATAGTAGGGCCAGAGTACTGTCTGTGGTATTATAGTAGGGCCAGAGTACTGTCTGTGGTATTATAGTAGGCCCAGAGTACTGTCTGTGGTATTATAGTAGGGCCAGAGTACTGTCTGTGGTATTATAGTAGGGCCAGAGTACTGTCTGTGGTATTATAGTAGGGCCAGAGTACTGTCTGTGGTATTATAGTAGGGCCAGAGTACTGTCTGCGGTATTATAGTAGGGCCAGAGTACTGTCTGTGGTATTATAGTAGGGCCAGAGTACTGTCTGTGGTATTATAGTAGGGCCAGAGTACTGTCTGTGGTATTATAGTAGGGCCAGAGTACTGTCTGTTGTATTATAGTAGGGCCAGAGTACTGTCTGTTGTATTATAGTATGGCCAGAGTACTGTGTTTTGTATTATAGTAGGGCCAGAGTACTGTCTGTGGTATTATAGTAGGGCCAGAGGACTGTCTGTGATATTATAGTAGGGCCAGAGTACTGTCTGTTGTATTATAGTAGGGCCAGAGTACTGTCTGTGGTATTATAGTAGGGCCAGAGTACTGTCTGTTGTATTATAGTAGGGCCAGAGTACTGTCTGTGGTATTATAGTATGGCCAGAGTACTGTGTTTTGTATTATAGTAGGGCCAGAGTACTGTCTGTGGTGTTATAGTAGGGCCAGAGTACTGTCTGTGTGGTATTATAGTAGGGCCAGAGTACTGTCTGTGTGGTATTATAGTAGGGCTAGAGTACTGTCTGTGTGGTATTATAGTAGGGCCAGTGTACTGTCTGTGTGGTATTATAGTAGGGCCAGAGTACTGTCTGTGTGGTATTATAGTAGGGCCAGAGTACTGTCTGTGTGATGGTTATTTAGAGTAGAGCTCTCAGCTGGGTGAGGGAGTGGGTTCAACAGCACTCTGTATGGAGACCAGTCTCGAATATAACATGTGTCAGAAGCCTGTCGGACACAAACCAGCTGGAACGTAGGATGAGGAAAAAGGCCCGTGTCCCAATACTAATTCCTCTACTGGAATTAGATCATTAGGGCACACCGTAGCAAAACGTTTTGCATTGGAAACTGTAAATGAGCGTTTCTTATTGAACAAGTTCAGGTAGTCTCCCCCGTATTTCTGTCAATTTTCTTCCAGTTGGTGCCTCTCTAGCCATATTATCTACCATGAGATAAATGGGATGAATGGACACTCATGTAATCCACCACTAAGGTCAACTCTAACACTAACCCTCTCTGTTTGACTTCCTCAGATATCCGAGAACTTCTACTGTGATCTGAACTCAGACCAGTTTAAAGGGTTCCTGAAATCCCACACGCCACAGACGGACCACTCCACCCTCTCCCGAGCAGCCATCTTCTCCATCACATACCCCTCCCCAGACATCTACCTGGTCATCAAGGTAAGATACGCATCTCATCTACCTGCACCTATCTACAGTACCTGCTCATTCAGGTAATACACACGTCTGTACGGCACCTACCGTATCTACAGTTGCTACACTATAGAACTAAATATATACCACTTAATAGAGGCTTTTATCCAAAGCAACTGAACAGTAGTGCACTTCATGCATACATTTTCATATGGTTGGCCCCAGCTGGAATTGAACCCACGACCCTGACGTATGTACCTCCTCACACGTATTACCTATGGTGCCACTATCAATCTGTGTGTTAAGGTAGCATACAGTAGGTAACTCTCCATAGACCCCTGTGGCGCAGTGGTCTAAGGCACTGTATTGCAGTGCTAGCTGTGCCACTAGAGATCCTGGTTCGAATCCACAATTGGCCCAGCGTCGTCCAGGATAGGGGAGGGAATGGCCGGCAGGGATGTAGCTCAGTTGGTTGTCAGTGGGTTCGTTTCCCACGGGGGGCCAGTAAAAAAGAATAATATATATATATATATATATACAGTGCCCTCCACTATTATTGGCACCCCTGTTTAAGATGTGGTCGAGGACTTCCAAAAATTTTCCTTTTTTTTAAACAACATAGAACCCAAATGCAAAAAAAGAGAAAAATCCAACCTTTTATTTAAGTACATTACTTTGGTGGTAAAAATAAAAATCACATATTTAGAAAGAAAAAAAACTTGAAATCATGTGTCCCACAATTATTGGCACCCCTAACAATTCCGCTGAAAATTTTAATTGAATTTTTAAAAAATATATTTTTCTGTAGTTGCTAAAGTTGGTCAGGGTATCTAGGAACTTTTAATTAGTAATTCATGACTTCCTGTTTCCCTGGGGTATAAATATGACGTGACACAGAGGCCTAATTCTCTTACCCATTTGTCAACATGGCAAAGACAAGAGAACACACCATTCAAGTAAGGCAGATTTGTGTCGACCTTCATAAGTCAGGCAATGGCTACAAGAAAATAGCCACTCGCCTTAACTTGCCCGTATCTACAGTCAGAGGAATCATTAAGAAGTTTAAAACAACTGGAACAGTGACAAACAAGGCTGGAAGAGGTCCCAAGTTTATCTTGCCACAACGCACAGTGAGGAGGATGGTAAGAGAAGTAAAAAAAAGTCCTAAGCTCACTGTCACAGAATTGCATCAAAGAGTGGCATCTTGGGGTCACAAAGTCTCCAAAACAACCATCAGACGTTCTCTACATGCCAACAAGCTGTTTGGGAGGCATGCAAGGAAAAAGCCTTTTCTCACTAACACTCACAAACGTAAACGTCTGGAGTTTGCTAAGCGGCACTGGGACTTCAACTGGGATCGTGTGCTTTGGTCAGATGAGACTAAGATTGAGCTTTTTGGCAACAAACACTCTAAGTGGGTCTGGCGTAAAACAAAAGATGAGTATGCCGAAAAGCACCTCATGCCCACCGTGAAGTATGGTGGAGGATCTGTGATGCTGTGGGCCTGTTTCTCTTCCAAAGGCCCTGGGAACCTTGTTAGGGTGCATGGCATTATGAACGCTTTGAACTACCAGGACATTTTAAATAAAAACCTGATTGCCTCTGCCAGAAAGATGAAGATGGGTCGTCATTGGGTCTTTCAGCAGGATAATGATCCAAAACATGTGGCAAAATCTACACAAAAATGGTTCAGCAGTCACAAACTCAAGGTCCTCCCATGGCCATCTCAGTCCCCAGACCTCAACCCAATCGAAAACCTGTGGGGCGAGCTAAAGAGGAGAGTGCATAAGAGAGGACCCAGGACACTGGATGATTTAGAAAGATTGTGCAAAGAAGAATGGTCAAAGATCCCTCTCTCTGTGTTCTCCAATCTTGTGAAATGTTATAGGAGGAGATTAAGTGCTGTCTTGTTGGCAAAAGGTGGTTGTACAAAGTATTAACATCAGGGGTGCCAATAATTGTGGGACACATGATTTCAAGTTATTTTTTTTCTAAATGTGTGATTTTTTTTTTTTACACCAAAGTAATGTACTTAAATAAAAGGTTGGATTTTTCTCTTTTTTTGCATTTGGGTTCTATGTTGTTTAAAAAAAAAGGAGAATTTTTGGAAGTCCTCGACCACATCTTAAACAGGGGTGCCAATAATTGTGGAGGGCACTGTATATATATATATATAAAAAAGAATAATGTATGCACTCACTAACTGTAAGTCGCTCTGGATAAGAGCGTCTGCTAAATGACTAAAATGTAAAAGTAAAAATGTGTACAGTATTAGCTTGGTCAGTGATGTACCTCTGTGTCCTGGCTGTGTTTCAGTGATGTACCTCTGTGTCCTGGCTGTGTTTCAGTGATGTACCTCTGTGTCCTGGCTGTGTTTCAGTGATGTACCTCTGTGTCCTGGCTGTGTTTCAGTGATATACCTCTGTGTCCTGGCTGTGTTTCAGTGATGTACCTCTGTGTCCTGGCTGTGTTTCAGTGATGTACCTCTGTGTCCTGGCTGTGTTTCAGTGATGTACCTCTGTGTCCTGGCTGTGTTTCAGTGATGCACCTCTGTGTCCTGGCTGTGTTTCAGTGATATACCTCTGTGTCCTGGCTGTGTTTCAGTGATGTACCTCTGTGTCCTGGCTGTGTTTCAGTGATATACCTCTGTGTCCTGGCTGTGTTTCAGTGATATACCTCTGTGTCCTGGCTGTGTTTCAGTGATGCACCTCTGTGTCCTGGCTGTGTTTCAGTGATGTACCTCTGTGTCCCGGCTGTGTTTCAGATAGAGAAGGTGCTGCAGCAGGGAGAGATCAGTGACTGTGCGGAACCATACATGGTCATGAAGGATACTGACTCAGCAAAGGTAGAGCGCCATGAGGGGACACACACACACACACACACAGACACACACACACACACACACACACACACAGACACACACACACACACACACACACACACACAGACACACACACACACACACACACACACACACACACACACACACACACACACACAGACACACACACACACACACACAGACACACACACACACACACACAGCTATAGGTTGTAATTGTGGTTCTGTGTGGTTCCCTGGGTCAGAACAAGGAGAAGCTGGAGAAGCTGCGAAATCAGTCTGAGACGTTCTGTCAGAGACTTGGTCGTTACCGCATGCCCTTTGCCTGGGCTACGGTCAACATCATGAACGTCATCAGCACCGCCACACTGGACCGAGACACCTCCGACTCTGACAGCCTCAACGGTCTGTGTGTGTGTGTGATAAGCTGGTTAACTCTTGAACTGATGAGCACAAGGCTTGTTTAATCTTACTTTACTTTTCTGCACCTGACTTGACTGACTTGTCATGGTTCACCTCACCTCCCCTGTCCAGGTAAATCCAGCAGTCTGGATAAGAGAGGTCAGTTGCCAAGGAGGAACTCGGAGAGGTTCGGTACCATGGAAGACCAGTGTAACCTGTCTGCCTTCAAACCTGCCACCATCACCATCAGCACCTTCTGCAAACAGGTCTGGACACATGCACTAGAGAAAACAACACACACACTACAATATAAACATCGATCCAGCGACATAAGCATCGCTATGCTCAGAGAAGGTCTTAGTCAGAGAATGCTTGACGCTGTGGGTATCACCTTGAGACAAGGCATTCTTTCATTCCACACATAATCCACAGAGCAGACACGTGATAAGACCTGGCCATATATAACCAGGTATCAAGTACACATACCATACATTCTCCATACTTGGCATCGCACAGCAAGGGTGCATTTTTCCATCCTACTAGCAACTGTGGATAAGCCCAAGAATTGGTCCCACAAGAACACTTAGAGTTGCAGTGCTCAATATATCACTTTCATATGTGAAGTTGTTGGAAAAGATGAAAGATGTCCTCTGTGCAACACTGCATATTCACAATGTTGAATTCTGAGGTGTTCAGAGACATTATGTCACTGTATCTTGTACACATGAACACAAAGACATGTTCATTTGACTGAACTGGACCCTGCTCTGTTTAAGGAGGGGGACCGTCTGAGTGATGAGGACCTGTTTAAGTTCCTGGCAGACATCAAGAAGTTCTCATCCCTGCAGAGAAGAATTAAAACCATACCAGGTGATCCGCTATTCAACCACACAGCAAGACCTGGCTGTCTGTGTATGCTGTTTCATTCCATTCAACCCAACAACAAGTGACTAGAATGTCCCATTTCTAAGAACAAGTGTATATGTTATGCCTGGGTTTATGTGTTTAAGTGACTCCATGCATTTAAAATAGCTGAATGGGCTATTCTGTATAATTCAGAATCAATTGCTTACAGTGGTGAAAACCTGTGGGACTGAAACCTTCCTATACTTACGCCCTACTTTGGAATAATTCTGAATTAACATAGTTTGAGACTGTATTTGACTTATTTTTGACTTGATCTATTTTAGGTACAATAAAACTGGATGTGACCCCGGTCCATGAGAACCCAGTGGCCTGTCTGTCTACTGAGCTGATCCCAGTCAAACCACTGGCTGAGAAGAACATCCGACCTGTCAAAGAGGTGTTGGAGTTCCCCTCCAGCGAGGTCTATGTTCCACACAGCACTTACAGGTGAGCACACACATACACACACACACACTGCACAACAGCATTTACAGGTTAGTTCACTCACTCAATCCTCCTGAAACCACTTTTTGAATATTGCATATCCTGCTCATTCTCCTCAAAGCTCACTTGGTCGCTTCATTATCGGTGGATATAGCCTTTAGCGTTACAGACCGCATGTATTTACCATAGCACATACAGTTGAAGTCGGAAGTTTACATACACTTAGGTTGGAGTCATTAAAACTGTTTTTTCAACCACTCCACAAATGTCTTGTTAACAAACTATAGTTTTGGCATGTCGGTTAGGATATCTACTTTGTGCATGACACAAGTCATTTTTCCAACAATTGTTTACAGACAGATTATTTCACTTATAATTCACTATCACAATTCCAGTGGGTCAGAAGTTTACATACAGTGAGGGAAAAAAGTATTTGATCGCCTGCTGATTTTGTACGTTTGCCCACTGACAAAGAAATGATCAGTCTATATTCTGCCCTGGAATTGCGTTCCCGTGCAAAACTAGACAGATAGCTAACAACTGAGTCTTCAATAAAACTTCCAAGGCGTGACTTTTCTTGAACGAATGTATTGAAAACGTTTATGTTGTGAAACTGCAAATACAGAAAATAATATACTTTAGTATTCAATTCACATTGACATACTGTAGCTGTACATTATACATTTCAAGTTGAAGTTGCATAAATACAAAGCAAGTGCCAAGTTACCATATATCTGGCATGACGACAAACCAAATAGATAATTACTCTGAGTAACAACTAGCCAACTCCTTTCATTACTCTAATAATGTACAAACACCTCTGTACAATAACAAAGCATATTACACTAGAAACAGTAACAAACTATAGTATGTTTTACACTTCTTTTACATGATGCACGAGCAAACTAATACAGCTAACGGCATCCATGAAAGTCAATGCAATTTGCGTGAGTAAATGTAACCAACTAACATTGATAAGTAAGCAATTCTGTCAATAACAATATTATCATCACTTGCAATATGCTTGAATTGAACTTACAAACAAATATTTTCTGAGGCTGAAGCGTAACAAGAAATAGTTGCACTGAAAGAACTGTACAGTAGCATTGTTTCTAGCTGCTTGTCTGCGTGCAGAATGACTACTTTACTTCCGGTTTTTGTACATTATTCTAAGTACCAGAAAGCTCCACTAGAGGGCGCTAAACACCATGGAACACAATGAAAGTCACTCTTAATCACTATAATAAAATAATCTGTTACCTTCTAACAAGATGGCAGCACAGTCTATAATTTTAATGGTAGGTTTATTTGAACAGTGAGAGACAGAATAACAACAAAAAAATCCAGAAAAACATTATAAATTGATTTGCATTTTCATGAAGGAAATAAGTATTTGACCCCCTCTCAATCAGAAAGATTTCTGGCTCCCAGGTGTCTTTTATACAGGTAACGAGCTGAGATTAGGAGCACACTCTTAAAGGGAGTGCTCCTAATCTCAGATTGTTACCTGTATAAAAGACACCTGTCCACAGAATAAATCAATCAATCAGATTCTAAACTCTCCACCATGGCCAAGACCAAAGAGCTCCCAAGGATGTCAGGGACAAGATTGTAGACCTACACAAGGCTGGAATGGGCTACAAGACCATCGCCAAGCAGCTTGGTGAGAAGGTGACAACAGTTGGTGCGATTATTCGCAAATGGAAGAAACACAAAATAACTGTCAATCTCCCTCGGCCTGGGGCTCCACGCAAGATCTCACCTCGTGGACTTGCAATGATCATGAGAACGGTGAGGAATCAGCCCAGAGGATCTTGTCAATGATCTCAAGGCAGCTGGGACCATAGTCACCAAGAAAACAATTGGTAACACACTACGCCGTGAAGGACTGAAATCCTGCAGCGCCCGCAAGGTCCCCCTGCTCAAGAAAGCACATATACAGGCCCGTCTGAAGTTTGCCAATTAACATCTGAATGATTCAGAGGAGAACTGGGTGAAAATGTTGTGGTCAGATGAGACCAAAATGGAGCTCTTTGGCATCAACTCAACTCGCCGTGTTTGGAGGAGGAGGAATGCTGCCTATGACCCCAAGAACACCATCCCCACTGCTTTGGGGGTGTTTTTCTGCTAAGGGGACAGGACAACTTCACCGCATCAAAGGGAGGATGGACGGGGCCATGTACCGTCAAATCTTGGTGAGAACCTCCTTCCCTCAGCCAGGGCATTGAAAATGGGTCGTGGATGGGTATTCCAGCATGACAATGACCCAAAACACACGGCCAAGGCAACAAAGGAGTGGCTCAAGAAGAAGCACATTAAGGTCCTGGAGTGGCCTAGCCAGTCTCCAGACCTTAATCCCATAGAAAATCTGTGGAGGGAGCTGAAGGTTCGAGTTGCCAAACGTCAGGCACAAAACTTTAATGACTTGGAGAAGATCTGCAAAGAGGGGTGGGACAAAATCCCTCCTGAGATGTGTGCAAACCTGGTAGCCAACTACAAGAAACGTCTGACCTCTGTGATTGCCAACAAGGGCTTTGCCACCAAGTACTAAGTCATGTTTTGCAGAGGGGTCAAATACTTTTTTCCCTCATTAAAATGCAAATCAATTTATAACATTTCTGACATGTTATTCTGTCTCTCACTGTTCAAATAAACCTACCATTAAAATTATAGACTGATCATGTCTTTGTTTGTGGGCAAACGTACAAAATCAGCAGGGGATCAAATACTTTTTTCCCTCACTGTACACTAAGTTGACTGTGCCTTTTAAACAGCTTGGAAAATTCCAGAAAAGGATGTCATGGCTTTAGAAGCTTCTGATAGGCTAATTGACATCATTTGAGTCAATTGGAGGTGTACCTGTGGATGTATTTCAAGGCCTACCTTCAAACTCAGTGCCTCTTTGCTTGACATCATGGGAAAATCAAAAGAAATCAGCCAAGACCTCAGAAAAAAAAATGGTAGACCTCCACAAGTCTGGTTCATCCTTGGGAGCAATTTCCAAATGCCTGAAGGTACCATGTTCATCTGTACAAACAATAGTACGCAAGTATAAACACCATGGGACCACATAGCCGTCATACAGCTCAGGAAGGAGACGTGTTCTGACTCCTAGAAATTAACGTACTTTGGTGCAAAAAGTGCAAATCGATCCCAGAACAACAGCAAAGGACCTTGTGAAGATGCTGGAGGAAACAGGTACAAAAGTATCTATATCCACAGTAAAACGAGTCCTATATCGACATAACCTGAAAGGCCGCTCAGCAAGGAAGAAGTCACTGCTCCAAAACTGCCATAAAAAAGCCAGACTACGGTTTGCAACTGCACATGGGGACAAATATCATACTTTTTGGAGAAATGTCCTCTGGTCTGATGAAACAAAAATAGAACTGTTTGGCCATAATGACCATTGTTATGTTTGGAGGAAAGGGGGAAGGCTTGCAAGCCGAAGAACACCATCCCAAACGTGAAGCACGGGGGTGGCAGCATCATGCTGTGGGGGTGCTTTGCTGCAGGAGGGACTGGTGCACTTCACAAAATAGATGGCATCATGAGGAAGGAAAATTATGTGGATATATTGAAGCAACATCTTAAGTGTATTCTGTCTCCATGCTAAGGTACTTAACACAGCACATAATGTAGCTTCAGGCCTTTTCCATTGACATTGTAAACAGGTTTGCTGGGTCTTTTTCAACCAGTCTGACCTGACACAACCTCCAATGCTGTCAACACTTCACTCCTTCCTCCTCGCTAGATGAAGGGTGTGTCCCAAATGGCACCCTATTCCCCATAGGGCTCTGGCCAAAAGTAGTGCACTATATAGCGAACAGGGTCCATTTGGGAGATAGCCTAAGAGTGTGTCTCCTGTCTCAGGACAGATGACTACATTGTTTTTAATCTCACACTAATGTTCACACCACATTTGGATTGTTGGTAAGACGCTAGTTTTCAGGCCCACGCAGTGTATTGTGTAATATCATGCATTTGTTAGCTGAACAGGGTCTGATCTACATTTTACATTTAGCAGACGCTCTTATCCAGAGCGACTTAGTTCGTGAGTGCATACATTTTCAAACTGCCCCCCCGTGGGAATCGAACCCACAACCCTGGCGTTGCAAGCGCCATGCTCTACCAACTGAGCTACACGGGGGGACTAATGGTGTAGTATGGATGTGCAGGCTCAGGCAGTCTAACTCTGAGTAGGAGTGGTGGTGCTGGTGCACTATGGTCATATCCTGACCACCTGACCAGGAAGAACTCTGGGCACTAACCTTTAGCAGGCTATACGCAGGGCTTGGGCTGCGTCCCTTTAATATCTCCTTTCTCCTGAAGTGTGCAGTCATTCACTACTTCCCACAAATATAAAGCATTAGATTCTTGGAGGCATGGACTAGTGGGAGTTTCCACCATATTTCTTATACCAGTCATTTTGTTTTAGAATCAGTGAAGGGAATTGAACAAGTGCACACCTTGGGAGGAAGGAGAGATAATGAGTTTCTACTTACTGTGTCACCTGGAACTCTCTTAAATTACCACATCATTCCTTTCATCATTAGGAAGTAATGTGAGTATGTGCAGGAAACAGAAAAATAACAATTTCTCTCCCCCCCCCCCCCCCCCCCCCCCCCTCCAGGAACCTGCTCTATGTGTACCCCCAGCGACTCAACTTTGTCAACAGGCTGACATCAGGAGGAAGGAACATCACCATTAAAATCCAGTTTATGAGCGGAGAAGACCCCAGCTGTGTGATGCCTGTGAGTTTCTCACACACAAACACACACAGTCTTGGGGACACAATTCAGTCCCATTCAAAATCCTATTTTTCCTAACCCTAAACATAACCTTAAGCCTAAACCTAATTCTAACACTAATTCTAACCTTAACCCTAAGCACCCTAGAAATAGCATTTGACCTTGTGGGGACTAAGAAAATGACCCTAGTTGGTCAAATCTTTGTTTGTTTACTATTCTTGTGGAGACTTCTGGTCCCCACAAGTATAGTTAAACACGTCCACACGCGCGAGCGCGCACACACACACACACACACACACACACACACACACACACACACACACACACACACACACACACACACACACACGGTGTTCACCCACGTCACTGTGACATTGTACAACATGGTTTTATAGATTTTACTCTGCTTTCTTTTTCCTCATAGGTCATTTTTGGAAAATCGAATGGTCCTGAGTTTGTGCAGGAAGTATACACCCCAGTCACGTACCATAACAAGCAAGTGGATACTATTTTAAATAGTAAATGCTAAATTACAATAACACAACTATGGCATGACATGCTACATATATAACGATCATATATATTTTTTGTGTTCTCTCTGTCCTGTGTGACTCTGCCTCAGGTCTCCAGACTTCTATGAGGAGGTGAAGATGGCTCTGCCTGCCAGGCTGACTGAGAGACACCACCTGTTGTTCACGTTCTACCACATCAGCTGTCAACAGAAACAGAACCAGACAGGAGCCAGTGAGGCACTCATAGGATACTCTGTAAGTTTGACCCCTCATGCCTGGTCTCCTCAGAGTGGGAGTGCTGATCTAGGATCAGGTTCCCCTGTCCATGCAATCTTATTCATTGTGATCTAAAAGGCTAAACTGATCCTAGAGCAGCACTCTTACTCTGAGACATAATGGCGGCGTTTACACAGGCAGCCCAATTTTGGTCTTTCGCCCGATTATTGGTAAAAAATCTGATCTGATTGGTCAAAAGAGCAATGATTGGCAAAATATCAGAATTAGGCTGCCTGTGTAAACCTGTCTTTATGAATATGGGCCCTGGTCTCATCTGGTCTGGATCAGTCTATGATCTGGCCTAGTTCAGATCAGTTTCACTCCACACTGGTTTCATATGGTCTGAGATGAACGTGCAGATACTCTACTGAACATGGCGCTGGACTGAAAAGTTGAATCATGGTTATTTATGATCAATCTACCAGTAAGTGATTCTCCTCAATGATGTGGAGAGGTAGATGCGTCTCCAGTATGTATCCGTCCATGGTCAATGTTTCCTGTGGCTGATCTTCTGTCTATCCCCTGGTATATTGTAGTGGCTGCCTATACTGAGTACTGACAGACTACAGACGGGTCAGTACTGCATCCCCATCGCCCTGGACAGATTGCCTGTCAACTACTCAATGCACTCACCTGAGGTAACCATTCATTTGGCCATTTCAATTATCCAGACAACAGTTGAAATTAAGTTGTATCACTAAAATGTAAAGAGGGGAGAGGCTCCCCCTTGTGGAGAGAATGTCAGTTACATTTATTTTTCATTAATAGGTTGATTTACTGACTTATTGATTGGGTTTAGATGGCAACAGACATTATATTTCTTTAGCACAAAGTACAAGGCATGTGAATAGGCTCAGAATGACTTAATATGTCAATGTCTCTCTCTGCAGAAGATTCTCCCTCAGGTTCTTGATATGTCTCTCGCTCTCTCTCTCTCTCTCTCTCTATCTCGCTCTCTCTCTCTTCCCTCTCTCTCTCTCTCTCTCTCTCTCTCTCTCTCTCTCTCTCTCTCTCTCTCTCTCTCTCTCTCTCTCTCTCTCTCTCTCCCTCTCTTTCTGCAGAAGATTTTCCCTCAGGTTCTCAATATGTCAATGTCTCTGTCTCTCGCTCTCTCTCTCTCGCTCTCTCTCTCTCTGCAGAAGATTCTCCTTCAGGTTCTTAATATGTCAATCTCTCTCTCTGCAGAGGATTCCCCCTCAGGTTCCTCCAGTCAAGTGGATGGAAAGTCACAAAGGAGTGTTCAACCTGGAGATACAGGCTGTGTCCTCAGTACACACACAGGTGAGTCTACCACACACACACACATACACACACACACACACACACACACACACACACACACTTTATTTATTCATTTATTTACCGAACCCCAGGACAACCACTTGGAGCGTTTCTTCACATTGTGCCATGCCCTGGAAGGCGGAGTGATGTTCCCGCTCCGGGTTCGGGAAGAGAAGATTCCGGAGAACAAGCTGGAGCACGAGCTGAAGCTGAGCATCATCTCCCTGTCCTCTTCTAGACTGGAACCTCTGGTCCTCTACCTCCATCTGGTCTTAGATAAACTATTCACCCTCATCATGCAGCCCATGGTCATCGCTGGACAGACAGGTATCTATAGGGACATGTCACCAGGACTTTCAGACAGACAGGTATCTATAGGGACATGTCACCAGGGCTTTCAGACAGACAGGTACCCAGTGGGACATCACCTGGGATTTCTGACATACTGGTAGAGCAAGACAGGTACTCCACTGGTAGGACAGACAAGTAGTGTGAGAGTTTACCTGATATGTTTGACCTGTGTTGTGTTAACCGTGCGTGTGTTTATTTCCTAGCCAACCTGGCCCAGATAGCATTTGAGTCGGTGGTGTCCATCGTCAACAGTCTCCACAACAGCCAGGAGCTGGCCAGGGACCAGCAGGGCAGGAACGGTCTCCTAGCAACATACCTGTACTGGGTGTTCCGTCTACCTGACTCCCATGAGCTCCTCAACACAGGTAGGAAGGAACCACCGGACACGTTATCATGGTGATGTAACTGTATGGGCAGTCTTACTTGTGAAGAGAATGGACATAGTCTTATTTGCGCAACAAGAATGTGCTCAGCTGAGCACAGTAACTGTAGATAAGTTACATGAAACAGAAGTCATTGAAATATACAATTCTGTAGAACTGCAGGTATGTGCAACCTAAAGTAAAGTGTAACCAGGTAGATCATGCCAGTGACAAGGTTCTCAAAAGAGGACCGTCGTGCTCTCCCAAAAGTTTGGTTGGTGCGTAAAACCTGTGAATCCAGATAAGCCAAAAAGTGAATCCGCACACAAAAAGATGTTGCATAAAGCTGACTTAATTTAGTTTTTTAAATGAATTTTTACTGCATCAGGATAGCGTACATAGACATTTCGACTTAATAGCCTTCTTCAGTGTGTAGGTAAAGTGTGGCGTCCAGGTAGGTCATCCTAGTCATATGGTTCTCCCCTGTTTGTGTCTGTGTCCAGGTCCAGGGGGGGTGGTACCTCCCACTGAGGGCCGCTACAGTACTATGGGGCGAGCCTCAGCCACCACAGTAGGAACCATGTTACTGCAGTCCCGGATCCGCAGCAGCAGCAACCCTGATATCCCTGCCCCACACAGTGCAGAGGACACAGAGGTCAAAAACATCCTGTCAGCTAAGGTACTGCTACACATACAGAGTTGTGGTTGAGTGGGTAACACTGCATGTTCAATCCCTGAGTCCTCCTCTCACACTTTGTCTCCTCTTAAAGGGATACTTCCGGAATTTGGCAACAAAGCCCTTTTCCTACTTCCCCAGAGTCAGATGAACAATGCTAACTAGCGCTAGCATGCTAGCTGTTTCTTTTTTTTTTTTTTTTTTTTTTTTCTGGGGGGATGGATCAGCTTAATATTGCAGATAGATTGTATCTTCTATTAATGTAATTGTCTGCATCACTTCCAATCCCCCATGTTTTTTTTATTTTTTATATATATGCATGCTAGCTGTTACCATAGTCTTCTAGTCATTGCGTTAAGGCTAGTTAGCAATTGCGCTAATGCTAGTTAGCAACTTCCTTCAAACTGCACACAGAGACATACAAATGAAATCCACGAGTTCATCTGACTCTGGAGAAGTAGATAAAGGGCTTCATTGCCAAAATCCCAAAGTATCCCTTTAACTTGTCAGCCCCTCTGTTTCTGAATCTCCACTCTCCTTTAAAAAAAAGGGGGGGAAGGTACTGCTACACTAAAGACATAGAGTCAATGAACATCCCGTCTAGAGCCTGCCACAAACACATGTTGCTACTGTAGCTACATCCTCTAGTGTCACGAGTGTCTCTCAGACTGTGGCTGGTTTACAACACATCAGTACCTTCAAGGCTTTTGATATCCCCTGGGTCTATGGCTGTAGTGTAGACTCACTGGTTTGGGCCAATTAAAACCATGTCTGCATTCCAAATGACACCCCATGGGCCATGGTCAAAAATAGTGCACTATATAGGGAACAGGGTGCCATTTTGGGACGCACACACCACATTTGTTTGTCTCTTTGTTTCTGAAGCTACAATAGCCCAGGTAGTCCAGTGTAGGACGGTCTGATTCAGATTCTTCATGACCACCTTGTTGTTGCTGTCCTCTCTCTCAGGGCCAGAACAACCCAGGCAGTCGCATGTCCACCTATGTGGATGTGAGCAGCCACCCTCAGAGCTCTACAGGCGGGACCCGGCCCTCCAACAGAAAGGTAACAGAAAGATCCCCGGAATAAATGTCTTTATTCTCCTCTGTGATGCCAACAGTCACCAGCAGAGGGCAGTGTGACACTGAGCAGACCAGAGCACATACCGTAGCATGTAGACTTCTATAAAGTATCTTCCATACTAGCCAAACACTGACAATAACATCCTCATTTGCGTTCTGAGTAGAATGTTCTATATACGTCGCAGTAGGATGTTACATGGCAGCCAGTAAAATCTTAAATCTGTAATAGATCATGTGATGTGGATTTCTATGGTGTTGGAGCAAACCACACTGGCATGTGAAATAGCAGCTGAACATGGCATTGAACTGTGGTTCTATACATTCACAAATATTTAACAGAGATTAAATAGTGTGTGTGTGCATTTCAAAATCAAATCACTCTGTTTTGAGGCGCTGATCTTGTGTTGTTAGCCATGCTAAAATAAGACCAGACCCTTCCTTTTGAAACGCTGTATCTGATTTCACTGGCTGGGGTCACAGTGCATTGGCTAGCTCTGGTTTGTGTTGAACTGAGGACTGTTGGCACCAGCAGTCAGTCAGTCATTCAGTCAGTAATTAAATCTGTCTGAGTGTCACTCCCTCTCTCTAATCTCTCTTTCTCTCTAACATATAAGTTGTACTTTGCTTTTAAGAAGTAATCCGTTATAACACTGTGATAGTCCAGGATGGATGTGATCCTTTGAAATAGTACACTGTATTCTATATGTAGGTTACCAGACACTACTGTATTAGTGGTGGTAGTAACCCAAGGCTCTGTTTCTCCTCTGACAGCAGTTCCATGAGGAGTTAGCTCTACAGATTGTGGTCAGCACGGGAGTCTGCAGAGAGAACGCATACAAATACGCCTGGTTCTTCTTTGAACTGCTGGTGAGTGTGTTCAATATACACTGAATGTACAAACATTAGCAAACCTTCCTAATATTGAGTTGCACCCCCTTTTGCCCTCAGAACAGCCTCAATTCTTTGGGGCATGGACTCTACAAGGTTTTGAAAGCGTTCCACAGGGATGTTGGCCCATGTTGACTCCAATGCTTCCCACAGTAGTGTCAAGTTGGCTTGTAGTGGATCTCTACTCCGTATAGCACATTCCAGCTCATCCCACAGATGCTCAATTGTCTTGATCTGGTGACTGGGCAAGCCACTGCGGTAAGCTGAATCCACTGTCATGTTCGTGGAACCATTCCTGGACAATCCTACTGAAAAAAATAATTTGCAGATGGACACACTGCTTCCATGAAGGGATGCACCTGATTGGCGATGATGTTCAGATATCCTGTGGCATTCAAATGTTGCTCCACTTTTATCAAGGGGCTCAATGTGTGCCATGAAAACACACCTTACACCATCACACCACCACCACCAGCCTGCAATGTTGACATGCGGCATGATGGATGATTGAACTCATGTGGTTTTCTCCATACCCTAGTTCTCCCATCAGCGTGAAACAGCAGGAACCGGGATTCATCAGACCAGGCAATGTTTTTCCAATTCTCCAGTGTCCAGTGTTTTCGTTTCTTAGCCCACTGAAACCGAATGTTCTTGTTTTTCTGCTGAAAGAAGTAGAACTCGGCTGCCATACCCCATTCGTGTCAAGGTACGAAAAGTTGTGCATTCTTTTATGGGTCTTTGGGCACCAATGTTGTACTGGACTGTCAGTTGACTAACTGTAGCCTGCCTGTTGCTCTGCACAATTTGTGTCAGCCTCCTTTGTCGTCTTTCATCAATGAACTGATTTCGACCACTGGCCTGCCGTTGGCTGGATGTCCTTTGGGTGGTGGACCATTCTTGATACACACAGAAAACTGTTGAGCGTGAAAATCCCAGCACCGTTGCAGTTCTTGACACACTCAAACCGTTGCGCCTGGCACCTACTACCATACCCCGTTCAAAGGCACTTTAAATATTTTGTCTTGCCCATTCACACTCTGAATGGCACACGTACACAATCTATGTCTCAAATGTCTCAAGGCTTTAAAATATTTATTTAACCTGTCTCCTCCCCTTCATCTACACTGATTTGAAGTGGATTTAACAAGTTACATCAATAAGGGATGATAGCTTTCACCTGGTCATTTTATCATGGAAAGAGCAGGTGTTCCTAATGTTTTGTACACTCAGTGTATTTACTTTAATGGCAAATAAGCTCTAGCATTTTTAGCTTAATGGAGTTGTTTTTGGACTACAATGAAGGAATGTGTGTGTGTGTGTCCAGGTGAAGAGCATGGCCCAGCACGTGTCTCAGCTGGAGAAGCAAGACGTCCCTCGCAGGAGCCGCTTCTCAGACCGCTTCAAAGATGACGTCACCACAATCGTCTCCGTGGTTACTGCTGAGATAGGGACCATCCTGGTCAAACAGAAGAAGGTTAGTAATAGTGTCATTATGAGCCTTTATATACACCAGCACTTTTAATAAACTTACAAACACTTTTTCAGATAATTAATCAATCTATCAAATCATCACTTAATGCCAGTCCTTTTTTTTTTTTTCTCTAAGTAGACCATTGGCTGTTTTTAACTGAAAATCTAATGTTTTATTTGTTGTTGTGTTGTTGTTGTTGTTGTTAGGAGTTGGAACAGGCAGAGAAGGTGAACATCAGCCTGGCCTTCTTCCTGTATGACCTGCTGTCTCTAATGGACAGAGGCTTTGTCTTCATCCTGGTCAAAAACTACTGCAACCAGGTCACTACCACAATACACTACCCTAATCAGAATAATGCAACCAAGTCACAATAAACTACCCTAATTTATTGTTTTTCCCACCAGATGTCGGCAAAGACCATTTCCATGCCAACCCTGATTAGCATGCGATTGGAGTTCCTGCGTATCCTGTGCAGTCATGAGCACTACCTCAACCTCAGCCTTTACTTCAGTAGCCCCGCCTCCGCACCCACCTCCCCATGCCCATCCATCTCCTCACAGGTCAGTTTGCATGTCAGTCAAAATCGTATTGACCAGTCCCTCACCTGGCTTTGGGATTTTAGGTTATAGCGTAGTATGGTTGAGTAAGGTGGGTTCTCTCTCTCTGGCTTTAAATACTCTTTCTCTACTTTTATATACTTTTCTCTGGTTCTCTCTCTCTGACTTTAAATACTCTTTCTCTCTCTCTCTCTCTCTCTCTCTCTCTCTCTCTCTCTCTCTCTCTCTCTCTCTCTCTCTCTCTCTCTATCTCTATCTCTATCTCTTGCTCTCTATCCCCCGTCTCTCTCTCTCTCTCTCTCTCTCTCTCGCTCTCTATCCCCCGTCTCTCGCTCTCTATCCCCCGTCTCGCTCTCTATCCCCCGTCTCTCTCTCTCTCTCCCTCCCCCGTCTCTCTCTCCCTCCCCCGTCTCTCTCTCTCTCCCCCGTCTCTCTCTGCAGAGCTCCAGTTCGTATAGTTTCCAGGAGCAGAGGATCCTGGGGCTGTTTGAGCTGTCTCAGGAGTTTAAACAGCAGCACTACCTCGCTGGTCTACTGCTGACCGAGCTCAGCGCTGCACTGGACATGGAGTCAGAGGGGTCAGTACACACACCATACAAGAGACACACACACACAACACCTCACTGCCCACTATCTCAGGGGCCAGCCAACTACACACAGACAAACAGAAAAATGTGTGTGTGTGTAGGGGTAAAGTCCAGAGGAAGGCCATCAACGCCACCTACAGTCTGCTGTGTGCCCATGACCTGGACCAGCGCTGTACCCGGCCTGAGGTCCGGGCCAAGGTGGCCACTCTCTACCTCCCCCTGGTGGGCATCATCATCGACTCCATCAACTACCTGGACTTCACAGGTACTGGCCTGGCCACATCCCATATCCACACCTATACCCTACCCATTGGGACTTAATGTAGAGTCTGGCTAAGGAGTTGGTTGATTAGTTTGGAACTGGGTTGATGTGAACTGTGTTTAGAGAGTGTTTGGTGCAGAGCCGTGGCTGAGTGGTAACAATCTTTGCTCTCAACAAATATGTGACTCCCCACCGTAGTCTCCCCTTCCAACTTTCTCCCCTCTCTACCTCTGTATCTCCTTAGTAACTTCTAATCTGTCTAAATAAAACTTGAAAATATATATTTTTTAAAAGTATTTGACCCTTGTGTGTCTCCGTAGTGTCAGAGGCTCGCGGAGGGAAGAACAAGACAGGAGGGTCAGATGAAGACCCCGACAATGTCCCGCCCATTAATCAGTCTATTGCAATGGCAATCGCCGGCAATCCCTTCAACACCTTGGCGAGGAATGCCCTGCCTTCCATGGTGTCTGTGGTAAGGCTATAGGAATGTTGCCATGGTTTCGTATTCCAAGCACATACTGTATGTTTGGGTTCCTCCATCAGACCTGGATTAAGTTTGCTTTTTAAAATGATTTATTAACAATTTCAATTAGAGTAGTAAATTCCTTGTTCTGTAGTTTTGTGACTAGTGGTGATAAAGGTGTGTGTGTGTGTGTGTGTGTGTGTGTGTGCATGCACACATCCGCAAGGGGGCGGTGGTGTAGCAGGTGTGCTGCTGTGAGGTAGACTGATGAGCTGTAGGAAGCACACACACTCCATCCATTGTGAGATGCCAGCTCTCTTTCTCTCTCTTTCTCTCTCGCTCTCTCGCTCTCTATCTCTCTCTCACACACACACACACATTTTGGGAGATGCTTTATGGGCAGGCATTATCATCATAAGTGAATTGGGCTGTGCTGAGAGACACACATCCATCAAACGTAGCCACGGCAACCACACAGCCACAGAACACCCTCCCTCTGTCTCTCCTATCATACCTTGTCTGTGCTAGATGGATGTATACAATGCTAACTGTCTATTCTTTTTTTTTTTTTTTACAGGTTTGATAAGTGTTTAACATATTAAGACATTGAACTCAAGTCGAGGCCCTAAGCCTGCCATCTGAGTAATAGCATCTATGGAATCAGTAGGAGTTGAATGGTTGTCTTCATCAAAGGTCCCAATCTACTCCGTGTAATAGTGTTACTCAATGGTAGACACGGGTCCCTCACGACGCCAGGACAGCGGAGTCACTCACCACCTTCCGGAGACATTTGAAACCCCACCTCTTTAAGGAATACCTGGGATAGGATAAAGTATTCCTTCTAACCCCCCCCCCCCCCCCCCCCCCCCCCCCCCAAATTGTAAAGTGGTTATCCCACTGGCTATAGGGTGAACGCACCAATTTGTGAGTCGCTCTGGCTAAGAGCGTCTGCTAAATGACGTTAATGTGCCCTTGAGCAAGGCACTTAACCCTAATTGCTCCTGTAAGTCGCTCTGGTTAAGAGCGTCTGCTAAATGACTAAAATGTAAAAAAAATGTAAAATGGGTCTGTATGGAATATTACTCAACCTCTGAATTAGATGTAGCGCCAGTGGAGAGCCTTGGCAGCGGATAATTGGGAATCCCAATAAAATACAACAACCCATAAACCACACTATACTATGTCTCTGTCCACTCTAACGTATACAGTACGTCTCTGTCTCCCTTCCTCTACCAGTCTGCTAAGGCAGTGGCCAGCCTCTGTGTGTGTGGTATGTTCTATAGTAATATAACTCTGTCGCTCTCCTCTCTAGCAGTCTGGTAAGGCGGTGGCCACCCTGTCAGCAGAGACCAGTCGTAACCTGCTGGTGTGTTTCCTGTGGGTGATGAAGAACGCTGAGAGGAGTCTGATCCAGCGCTGGACTGTAGACATGCCGTCAGCACAGCTCAACAGACTGCTAGAACTACTCACCATTTGTGTTTCCTGCTTTGAGTACAGGGTAAGAATGTCTGCGCCCTGCATGGAGTACATACCTAATTAATGTCTGTAAATAGGATGTATGTGTGTGTGCATGCCTTCACGCATTTGTGTGTGTGTGTTATGTGCAGGGGAAGCGAAGCAGTGATAAGGTGAGCACCCAGGCCTTACAGAAGTCCCAGCAGGCTAAGTTGCAGCTGGAGGACTCCCTACTGAGGGGCATTGGAGCCCGGGGGGAAATGATGCGACGGGCTGGAGGTCAGTACCACCCACCACTCTCTCTGATTGATCAAAAGTAGCTAAATCCACAGTACACGACTTATAAGTATATCTCCTGAAAAGCAGCTGTGAGTAGCTGAAAAGGGAATGATGGTACTCCTAAGCTGCTTTTTGATTGGACGAGAGTCTGCCTGCCCTTTTATCCCTGACCTTTGACCCTGACAGGAAGTGACCGTGCAGGTCAGAGAGTGAACCTGCGCTGGAGAAAAGACCTGACACAGTGGAGGCAGACCAACGACAAACACGACAAGTGAGTTACACACACACACACACACACACACACACACACACAGAGTACAAATGCAATTCATTCAGACATGAATTACACATCTCTCCTGGTATGGAAGAAGATAGATTGTCAGACAATGCCATTGGAAGAAACTAGTGAAGAGAACCCCCTCTCCTGTTTCCCCTCAGAACCAAAGCAGAGCTGGACCAGGAGGCTCTGATCAGTGGGAATCTGGCTACTGAGTCCAACCTCATCGTCCTGGACCTACTGGAGACCATAGTACAGGTCACAACATCTTTCTTCTTATGTTTTCAATCTACCTCTACTTCTTTCTGCCCTTTTCTGTCTAATCTCTCTCTCTCTTTATCTCTCTCTCTCTCTTTATCTCTCTCTCTCTCTCTTTATCTCTCGCTCTCTCGCTCTCTCTCGCTATGGTCGTGTTTGAGATTGACTGCAGACTGACTGTTCTACAAATCACCTTGCAACCTAAATAACTACTGATTGTTTGTAGATCAGTCTGTCAGCATTTACCAACAATGCATCACGAATTTTGATACTCTCTTGAACACAGCCAACATCATAAGTGTCCTCTCTTGTCCCATTTGGCTGACAGCATTCTCTCTCTGTCTTCCATACAGGCTGTTCCATTGGCTGACTGTAAGGACAGTGTAGTGGGTGGCGTGTTGAGGGTGTTGCTACACTGTCTCACCTGCAACCAGAGTACAACCTTCCTGTCTCACTGCTTCAGCACACTGCGAGCACTCGTCGTCAAGGTAGTGTCTATACACAATATCTACTGACGGTATTGTGTGTGAGTGTATGCATGTGCGTGCGCTGATAGTATTGTGTGTATTATAGTTTGGTGACCTGCTGTTTGAAGAGGAAGCCGAGCAGTGTGCAGACCTGTGTCAGAAGGTGCTTCAGCACTGTAGCAGTCCTGTGGATGGAAACAGAAGCCAGGCCTGCGCTACCCTATACCTCATCATGAGATACAGCTTCAGCTCAGCCAACGTGAGTACACACGCACACACAGAATCCGTCTCATCCTTTTTCCTCTAACACCCAGTCGTTTCCATGTCTATTTTGAGCTCAGTGGAGAAAGTTGCTGAATGATGTGTTTCTGAGTACTTAGAAGTGAACAGGGAGATATGTCACTGTCTACCCCTGTGTCCCTGCCTTTCTGTAAGTAATGGCTGTACAAGTGAGAAAAAGGGAGAGGGAGAGAGAGGCACCACACCACCCCAACCAGTTAACACCCTCCCAAACCAACCAGTTAACACCCTCCAAACCAACCAGTTAGCACCCTCCCAAACCAACCAGTTAACACCCTCCAAACCAACCAGTTAGCACCCTCCAAACCAACCAGTTAGCACCCTCCCAAACCAACCAGTTAACACCCTCCAAACCAACCAGTTAGCACCCTCCCAAACCAACCAGTTAACACCCTCCAAACCAACCAGTTAGCACCCTCCCAAGCCAACCAGTTAGCACCCTCCCAAGCCAACCAGTTAACACCCTCCCATGCCAACCAGTTAACACCCTCCCAAACCAACCAGTTAACACCCTCCCAAACCAACCAGTTAACACCCTCCCAAACCAACCATGGCCACAACCCATATAGGTCCCCCCAGGTCAAACCAAGCCTCCTGCCCCTTCCATGCCCCCAACCCCCACAACTTGAAAATCACACATATGCCCAGGCGGAGAGCAACAAGTTAGATCAGACTTAACCCACTCCATGAAAATAATCAAAATAAAACAGAAACATTTTACATTTGACTAGAATTTAAAATAGAAATAATCTCAATAGAGAAAGATGTCCTCCTGTGTGCTACCTATATCCCCCCACTAGAATCCCCATACTTGAATGAAGACAGCTTCTCTATCCTAGAGTGGGAGGTCAACCATTTCCAGGCCCAGGGACATGTACTAGTCTGACCTAAACGCCAGAACTGGACAAGAACCTGACACCCTCAGCACACATGGGGACAAGCACCTACCTGTAGGGGACTGCATTCCCACCCAAATATGCCCCCCTAGACATAACAACCAACAAAAATGGGTCACAACTCTTGCAGCTCTGTCGCATGCTGGGTCTGTACATAGTCAGTGGTAGGCTTCGAGGGGAATCCTACGGTAGGTACACCTACAGCTCATCCCTTGGCAGTAGTACTGTAGACTACTTTATTACATTTACATTTTAGTCATTTAGCAGACGCTCTTATCCAGAGCGACTTACAGTTAGTGAGTGCACACATTTTATTTTTTATTTTTTTCATACTGGCCCCCCGTGGGAAACGAACCCACAACCCTGGCATTGCAAACGCCATGCTCTACCAACTGAGCTACATCCCTGCCGGCCATTCCCTCCCCTACCCTGGACGACGCTGGGCCAATTGTGCACCGCCCCATGGGTCTCCCGGTCGCGGCCGGCGATGACAGAGCCTGGATTCGAACCAGGATCTCTAGTGGCACAGCTAGCACTGCGATGCAGTGCCTTAGACCACTGCGCCACTCGGGAGACACTTTATCACTGACCTCAACCCAGAGTCTCTCAGAGCGGTCAGTCAGCCAACTAACACCCCTATCAGACCACAACAAAATCACAATCTACTTGAACAGAGCAATACTCAACCATGAGGTATCGAAGCCAAATAATCTGCATGCTTTTATGGAATGCTATAGATGGAAGCAGGGTAGTGTAGAAACCTACCAAAAAACGATTGGCCAACAACAAATCCAATCCCTCCTAGACAACTTCCTGGACAAAATGTTTCCCTGCAATAGTGAAGGTGTAAACTTAGCAGTAGGAAGCCTGAACAGTATATGTGACCGACCACCTCGATTCGGTCTTATGTAGCAAAATTTGAAATTGTGTTTTTTACATTGAATGAAAGTAGAAACTCAGAGCTAGAAAATGTTATATCATACACTGCAGTTGAGGAAAAATGGGAAAGTAATTCTGCTTTGAAAGTCGATAAACTTGTAACCCCACTTTTGAAAAATGGCCCTTGAATGTTTTGGTACACCTACTGGAGATCTCTTCTTTGTCTACACCCCATTCAGCATCGTTCACATCCTCTTAAGACTTAGCCCCACCCATCTCTTTAAGGATTCACATGTGAGTCCATGTGCTAAACAGAGTGAGTAGTTTAGTAAACAACCAAAGATTTCAAGACTAAAAGTGGTAAAAGTAGTAGCCTACAATAAGGAAAAACTCCAGGTAAAAATACACTTTATCTAGTCCTTAGCCTAATCTGACTTTGGTGCAGGTCATGTTGTTCTTCACATTACTGTCTCTGGTAAACACACACTATATCAAATCAAGTATACGTTTAGGAAGTATAAGTCATGTGAAGGAAATGCTATAACCACCCCCCAGCCACATCTAGCTAAGTGGATGGGTCACTATTGTCTAGACATGTACACATGTTCATGAAATACAATAGATGGTGGTAATCACCCCTAGACATACCTGGCTAACTTTATGGGTCATGTAATCATCTGGCGAAGTGGTGTCTTTTGTTTAGACATGTAGCTAGCTAGCTAAACAATGAACCGGCATAATTCCAACTCATAATACTACCAACACAAACATTGTCATAGCTGTTGTATGAATCTGCAGGTAGCTAAAGAGCTAACCAACTAGGTTCAATGTTAGGTAGCTAACATTGGGCTATAATTTGCAATGCAAATAGATCCTGATTAGAATAATATTACTACACAGATCATACATGTAACGTTAGCTAGCGAGCCAGCAAGCTAACGTTAGCTAGCTATTTGAAACTTATAATATCAGAAAATGTAGCTAGACTCTTACCCATTTAACTCTGTTTAGTTTGTAGCTACATCTTGTTTGGCCAGTGTTGTCAAGTCACTCCGGTTCACACTGACCGAGGCGTGTGCAGAAAGTAGCCTATCACTTTTTCCAACTGATCTGTCGATAGTGCCTGCTAAATTCAGGGAATCAATGTTGTTCAGAAAAGTAGCAAAACTTTTGTAGTTCTCGATGGCTAACGTTATATCTTTAAAAAACAGCACGGTAGAAAGGACTATCAACACATACTGAGCAGCTCACGTTATAGACAGAAGCATGCTACATGGCAGACCAATCCAAACTCATCTCTCGGCATGTCCAGCCCATCCATTATCTCAGCCAATCATGGCTAGCGGGAAGGTTCCTTTCTTTTTTCGTGGCTAAACCAACTATGCTCGTAATTTTAACAATTTTATTAGGATTTATGGACAGAATACAAGTTTGTTATTAAAGCACATGAAAGTTCACATGTTCCTGAAGGCATTTCTGCAAAACAACACATTTTGATCAAAAGTAAATGTTTACGTTCAAATGCCTCTCCTGTGAAGTAGTGACATGCGACATACGCCTAGTTTCCTGAAACGAGTCACATATTTGACCTATCAGCTAACATATCACATTTTAAAAAATCAAGGAGAAAAACTAACAACAATGAGAAATGGATTGATAAAGAATGCAAAAACCTAATAAGGAAATTGAGAAATCTATCCAACCAAAAAGACAGAACCAGAAAACCAGAACCTACACCTTCACTATGGTGTAACACTAAAACAGTACAGAAATACACTAAGAAAAAATAAGAAACAGCATGTCAGAAAACTTCTCAATGTGATTGAAGAGTCCATAGAATCTAACCACTTCTGGGAAAATTGGAACACACTAAACAAACAACATGAAGCACTATCTATCCAAAATGGAGATGTATGGATAAACTACTTATCTACCCTTTTTGGCCATATAACAAAGAAATAAGAGTAAACACATATACATGATCACTTGCAAAACTTAGAATCAGATATTAAAGACTACCGGAACCCACTGGATTCTCCAATTACATTGGATGAGCTACAGGACAAAATACAATCCCTCCAACCCAAAAAGGCCTGTAGTGTTGATGGTATACTAAATGAAATGATAAAATATACAGACCACAAATTCAAAATGGCTATTCTTCAACTCTTCAACATTATCCTCAGCTCTAGCATATTCCCCAATATTTGGAACCAAGGTCTGATCATCACAATCCACAAAAGTGGAGACAAATTTGACCCCAATAATTACTGTGGAATCTGCGTCAACAGTAACCTTAGAAAAATCCTCTGCAGTATCATCAACAGCAGACTTCAACATCTCCTCAGTGAAAACAATGTCCTGAGCAAATGTAAAATGGGCTTAGTACCAACATATCGTACGACAGACCATGTATACACCCTGTACACCCTAATTGACAAACAAAACAAAAGCAGTCTTCTCATGCTTTTTTTATTTCAAAAAAGGAAAGCATTGTTGGGGGGAAAACATACAATATTATGAAATCGAAGTACACAAACAACAAGTTTGCAGTTAAAATTGGCAATAAACACACAGATTTCTTTCCTCAGAGGAGTGGGGTGAGACAGGGACGCAGCTTGAGCCCCACCCTCTTCAACGTGTATATCAATTAATTGGCGAGAGCACTAGAACAATCTGCAGCACCCGGCCTCACCCTACTACACTCTGAAGTCAAATGTTTACTGTTTGCAGATGATCTGTTGCTTCTGTCCCCAACCAAGGAGGGCCTACAGCAGCACCTAGATCTTCTGCACAGATTCTGTCAGACTTGGCCATGACGCTAAATCTCAGTACAACAAAAATAATGGTGTTCCAAAACAGGTCCAGTTGCCAGGACAACAAATGCAAATTCTATGCCATCAAAAGGAACATAAAACTTGACGTCCCAATTAGGATCTAGCTAAAAGTACTTAAATCAGTTATAGAACTGATTGTCCTTCATGGTTGTGAGGTCTGGGGTCCACTCACCAACCAATAATTCATAAAATGGACAAACACCCAATTGAGACTCTGCATGCAGAATTCTGCTAAAATATCCTTTATGTACCATGCAAAACCCCAAATAATGCATGCAGAGCAGAATTAGGACTAGTCCTGCTAATCAAATTCCAAAAAAGAGCTGTTAAATTCTACACCCACCTAAAAGGAAGCGATGCCCATTCCTGACACTGCAAAGCTCTCACCTACAGAGAGATGATTGTAGAGAAGAGTCCCCTCAGCCAGCTGGTTTTGGGGCTCTGTTCACAAACACAGACCCCACAGAGCCCCAGGACAGCAACACAATTAGACCCAATCAAATTATGAGAAAACCGAAAGATAACTATTTGACACTGAAAAGAATCAACCAAAAAACAAGCAAACTGGAATGCTATCTGGACCTAAACAGAAAATACACAGTAGCAGAATGCCTGACCACTGTGACAGACCTAAAATTAAGAAAATTCTTGACTATGTACAGACTCAGTGAGCATAGCCTTGCTATTGAGAGAGGCCGCCATCGGCAGACCTGGCTCTCGAGAGAAGAAAGTCTATGTGCCCACTTCCCACAAAATGAGGTGAAAACTGGGCTGCACTTCCTTACCTCCTGCCAAAGGTATGACCATATTAGACACACATATTTCCCATAGATCACACTGACCCACAAAGAATTTGAAAACAAATCAAACACCGATTAACTCCCATATCTGTTAGACGAAATACAGCAATGTGCAATCACAGCAGCGAGATTTGTGACCCGTTGCCATGAAAACAGGGCAACCAGTGGAGCACAGATAACATTGTAAATACAACCAATATTTATCTGTTATGTTATTTAGCTGATAACGTACTTTATACTTATGAAACCTTTATAAGTGCAGTGTTTACTGTAACAGTAATATTCTGTTGTCTTTTGTTTATTGTTTGTGTTTACTGTAACAGTAATATTCTGTTGTCTTTTGTTTATTGTTTGTGTTTACTGTAACAGTAATATTCTGTTGTCTTTTGTTTATTGTTTGAGTTTACTGTAACAGTAATATTCTGTTGTCTTTTGTTTATTGTTTGTGTTTACTGTAACAGTAATATTCTGTTGTCTTTTGTTTATTGTTTGTGTTTACTGTAACAGTAATATTCTGTTGTCTTTTGTTTATTGTTTGTGTTTACTGTAACAGTAATATTCTGTTGTCTTTTGTTTCTTCTCACTTTTGTAGATTATTTTTATTTCAGTTGCTTTGGCAATGTAAACATGTTTCCCATAGAGAGAGGGCGGGAGGGAGAGAGGGAGGGATAGAGATGTAGATATAGAGGGGTAGGGCGGGAGAGGGGTAGGGAGGGAGGGCAGGAAAGAGAGAGAGAGGGAGGGCAGGAAAAAGAGAGAGAGAGGGAGGGCTGGAAAGAGAAAGAGAGGGAGGGCAGGAAAGAGAGAGCGAGGGAGGGCAGGAAAGAGAGAGCGAGGGAGGGCAGGAAAGAGAGAGCGAGGGAGGGCAGGAAAGAGAGAGCGAGGGAGGGCAGAAAGAGAGCGAGGGAGGGCAGGAAAGAGAGAGAGGGAGGGCAGGAAGAGAGAGCGAGGGAGGCAGGAAAGAGAGAGAGAGGGAGGGAAGGAGAGAGGAGGGAGGAGTAGAGAGGGAGGGAGGGCAGAGAGAGAGGGAGAGGAAGGAGAGGGGAGGGAGGGGAGGGAGGGAGGGAAGGAGAAGAGAGAGAGAGGGAGGGACAGGAAAGGAGAGAGAGAGGAGGGAGGGAGGAAGAGAGGGGGGGGAGGGAGGAGGAGAGAGGGAGGGAGGAGAGGAGGAGAGGGAGGGAGGAGAGGGAGGAGGAGAGGAGAGGGAGGAGGAGAGGAGGGGAGGGGGGAGGGAGAGGAGGGGGAGCAGGGGGAGGGAGGGAGGGAGGGAGGGGGAGGGAGGAGGTGGAGGGGGGAGGGGGCGGGAGAGATGGGGGGAGGGAGGGAGGGGGAGGAGGGAGGATGGGAGGAGGGGGGGGGAGATGGGGAGGGAGGGAGGGCGGGGGTGGGGAGGGAGGGCGGGGGGTGGGGATGGGGGGGGAGGGGAGGGCGGGAGGTAGGGCAGGAGAGAGGGAGAGAGGGCAGGAGGGGAGGGCGGGAGAGAGGGTGAGATTTGCACAAAAAAGCGCTTCCAACGCCATTTCGCACATCATTAATTTTACAGACCAAAAAAGACTATCATCTTGTCTAGGGTATTTTGAACGTTTACTGACAGATTTGCTGTTTCCATCAGGCCTGTCTTGACATTTTTTTATCCGGCATAAAAAGGTTGGATGGAAACCTGGTTTTAGGGAAGAGAAAGGGAGAAAGAACACACAACGGATCAGGCCTGGCGCCACGCTCGGTTTAACAGAATGGGGCCGTAGAGATGATCCATAGGTGATTATGTCTCAGCTAATGGGAGATAATTTCCTGCTTTGCTGCTGATGGCAGAGATGGATGGGGTTATACACACACACAAAACCATGTCAGCACTAAGCCCTCCGTTACCTGGAGGACAGTGAGTGAGTGAGAGAGAATTATTGAATATTGACAACCCTAGAGTCTACTTTATTAGCCAATACACGACTGAGCAATGTCATATATCGTTCTTTAATATATGCTTTTTATAGTTAGTGTTTTATGAATACAGCCAGCCTGTGTTAGTGTCCCTCCACTCCAAGCCCAGATTATGAGTATGGGCCTCCTCCCTGTCAAATCCCCCTCTACAGACATGAACACAGAGGGAGACTGGACAGGTCCCTCTCTGTCTACAGAGATGAACACAGAGGGCCACAGGACAGGTCCCTCTCTGTCTACAGAGATGAACACAGAGGGAGACAGGACAGGTCCCTCTCTGTCTACAGAGATGAACACAGAGGGCCACAGGACAGGTCCCTCTCTGTCTACAGAGATGAACACAGAGGGAGACAGGACAGGTCCCTCTCTGTCTACAGAGATGAACACAGAGGGAGACAGGACTGGTCCCTCTCTGTCTACAGCAGCACTAGTTTGGACACGAGGCTTGAGCTGTGTCCCAAATGTCACCCTATTCCCTATATGGTGCACGTCTTTTGACCAGGGCCCATAGTAGTGCACTATATATGGAATAGGGTCTCTATATAGTGCACTAATGTTGACCAGAGCCCTATGGGACCTTTTTAAAAAGTACTGCACTATGTATGTATTGGGGTGCTATTTGGGACGCAGGTTATGTCCCACCTAACCCCAGTTACTCAAGCCCCTGTCTCTCTCTTTGTCTCTGTCTCTGTCTCTGTCTCTGTCTCTGTCTCTGTCTCTGTCTCTGTGTGATGTGTAGAACTTCTCCCGGGTGAAGATGCAGGTGACCATGTCTCTAGCCTCTCTGGTGGGGAAGTCCGAGGACTTCCATGAGGAGTACCTCCGCAGGTCCCTACGCACCATACTGGCCTATGCAGAGGAGGACACAGAGATGCAGAACACACCACTGCCCTCGCAGGTAACACACACGCATGCACGCATTCACGCTCGCACGACACATGTTGATATTAACCCTAGTTTGATTGTGTGTGTGTAGGTGGATGAGCTGCTGAGGAACTTAAACAGTATCCTGTCAGACACGGTGAAGATGAGAGAGTTCCAGGAAGACCCAGAGATGCTCATGGACCTCATGTACAGGTACACACACAACCACTCACTCACTCCTTCACTCCTGCTGTAGGGCTCTGTGTGTGTTTTTCTCCTGGTTCCTATTTATTTCTTTGTGGTTTGGTTGTTTCTCCTCTGTTTATTCCTCACTATGGAAACCATGTGGTAGCAGTTTGGTACAGAGATCTGGTTTTGTATATTCATACAGAGTTTGTGTTTGTGTGGGAGTGAATGCAGACTCTCTCAGTGCATGTGTCATCTGCTTACATTCTGCATGTCTACACTTACACTCTTGGTTTTCATTCTGCATAAGCCATGCATCTGTAAAAGGTCATTAATTATTGAATTTACATTAGGCTACCTAAAACTGACCCCCAGCCCTCCTCACATGCCCCCCTCACCCCAAACCATTCCCTCACTTCACTCACTGAAAGATGTAAGCTATAAGGTCATCCCAGCCTAACAGGATGCAAGGAGAATCAATTATCATAGCTGATTACAGGGACCGTATACACAAAGTATCTAATCTAGGATCAGGTCCCCCCGTCCATTCATTATAATCTAAAAGGGAAAACTGATCCTAGATCAGCACTTCTTCTCTGAGAAGTTTTATGAATACAGGCCCAGATTACATGAGTACTTAAGAGCTTGAGGACTGGGGTTGGTTTGAAATTCAGCATCACTCCCCCTCTCCCTCCTTCTGTCTCCAGGATAGCGAAGGGTTACCAGACATCTCCTGACCTGAGATTGACCTGGCTGCAGAACATGGCGGAAAAACACAAGAACAGGAAGTGTTTTACAGAGTCTGCCATGTGTCTGGTCCACGCTGCAGCCCTGGTGGCTGAATACCTCAGCATGCTGGAGGACCACAAATACCTACCTGTGGGCAGTGTCACCTTTCAGGTGGGTATCTAGACTGTACGCACACACAGACACACACTACTGATTATGGTCTGTTGACTGTTGCCATAAGGGGGCGCTGTATACTCAAAACGTAATGCTTCCTTGTTTGGCTGCTGTCTTGGTTAATCACTTCGTGACAAATATTTTTTTGTGAAAAAACAAAGCTATCAGTAATACTTGATTGATTGATTCCCTTTTGTAACATGCTGGATGAGTCTGATTGGTTGGTTGCTTCTATAGAACATCTCTCCCAACGTGCTGGAGGAGTCAGCGGTGTCAGATGACATCCTGTCTCCAGATGAGGATGGGGTCTGTTCAGGACGATACTTCACCACCAGCGGTCTGGTGGGCCTACTGGAGCAGGCTGCAGAACTCTTCAGCAACGTAAAACACACAAACAGACAAACAAACAAACAAACAAAAGCGGATCCTAAATAATGGTATTGCTGCACTCCCATAAAGACACTGAACAATGGTGATAATAGTGTGTTGTTGCTGTGTTTTTCAGGGTGGTCTGTATGAGACAGTGAATGAGGTGTATAAGATCATTATGCCTGTTCTGGAGGCTCACAGAGATTTCCGGGAGCTGACCTCCACTCACGAGAAACTTCAGAGAGCCTTTGACAACATCATTCAGAAGGTACAGACAGACAGCAGCATGGACTACTGTATATGAAGGGATTACAGTCACAATACATATGAAGTACTACAATTATAGTGAAATGATAGTAAGATTACCATTACAAATCGATGTGCTGTATTTGGAGGAAAGCTGTCTACCTATTTCCTTCACTTGGATGTGAATGATTCAGAGTCGCTTTCACATGTTTGTCGTCGTCCCAGGGCCATAAGAGGATGTTTGGGACGTATTTCCGGGTGGGTTTTTATGGGGCCAAGTTTGGAGACCTGGACGAACAGGAGTTTGTTTACAAGGAGCCAGCGATCACCCACCTGCCAGAGATATCCCACAGACTGGAGGTAACTGTGAGAGAGCGTGTGTGTGTTGGTGCGTGCAGGTGTGCATGCTTTTACTGTATGGATATGAATACTGTATTGATTCATATGAGTACTATATCAATTCATATGAATACTGTATCTATTCATATGAATACTGCATCTGTTCATATGAATACTGCATCTGTTCATATGAGTACTGTATCTATTGGTGTTGTAGAACTTCTACAGTCAGTGTTTTGGAGATGCCCTGGAGATGATCAAAGACTCCAAAGACATAGACAGGAGCAAACTGGATGCTAACAAGGTATAGTATATGACAGTACACCACCAAATCATCCTGTGTTCCTGCTGTGTCCCTTTTCAATACCTTTTGACTTGCATGTGTCGAATTATTGAGAGGAACCTTCACCAACAACTAGATGCATCTCTACTTTTATCCCCTCTCTCTCTCTTTTTCTTTTTCTTTCTCTCTCTGCCCCTCCCTCCCTCTCTTCTCTCTCTCCGCCTCTCGCTCTCTCGCTTGTGCTCTCCCTCCCTCCCCCAGGCCTACATACAGATCACCTACGTGGAGCCCTTCTTTGATGACTATGAGATGAAAGACCGCCTGACCAACTTTGAGAAAAACTTCAACTTGCGTCGCTTCATGTACACCACGCCCTTCACAAAGGCGGGGCGGCCGCGTGGTGAGCTCAACGAGCAGTACAAGAGGAAGACTATCCTCACCACCATGCACACCTTCCCCTACATCAAGACACGCATCAATGTCATCCAGAAAGAAGAGGTATGCTGTTAGAACAAAGCCTATTTAGACACAGATTTTAGCCAATTAGACTGTGATTTTTTTATCTTTCCAAATCTAACTTGTACCTTCCCCTTTCACTCTCTTCACCTCTCCTTCCTTCTCATCCTCCCATCCCCAAGTTTGACCTGACTCCCATTGAGGTGGCCATCGAGGACATGCAGAAGAAGACCAGGGAGTTAGCGGTAGCCACACACAGGGAGCAGCCCGATGCTAAGATGCTCCAGATGCTTCTACAGGGCTCTGTGGGAGCCACCGTCAACCAGGTACCTCCAGCCACCTGTCCTGGCCCCAATAAATGAGATGTTTTCTGCCTCTCTCTTTTCTTTCTCTCCCTGTCACATTGGTGAAAAAGCAGACATTATCCCTCTCTCGTTCTCTCTCTCCCCCCCACTGGCATTTTAACATTAACATTACTGAATTGAAAGTTACTCATTGACTCCACACATCAAATGAAGAGGAAAAACAAGTAAGTAAGTAACGTGATGATAAAGAACATGACACATTAAAGAGTCCAGTTTAACCATAACATCGTCTGTACAGTGCCTCGGTTGATTCTGTTAAAACCTTCATTCACAACCTCTCCTTTCATGTCTGAGCTAAACACTGAAACCCTTTGATCTGATGGCTTACAGCTCCCGTCAAACGTTGGCTAAACGCTAATGTAATGATATAGTTACACCAGGCCCCAGCTCTCTTTTGTATAGTCTAATCTGACAGCAAGCCCTGCTTTCACCTGCTGTCTGTATACACAACCTTAATGTTCACGCTGTCCATAAACAAATACAGCCCGGGGCCAAATTTATTTTATTTAACTAGGCAAGTCAGTTAAGAACAAATTTGGCCTACGAAATGACGGCCTACGAAAAAGTCCTCCTGCGGGGACGGGGTCTGGGATTAAAAATAAAAATATAGGATAAAACACACATCTCGACCAGAGAGACACCACAACACTATATAAAGAGAGACCTAAGACAACAACATAGCATGGCAGCAACACATGACAACACAGCATGGTAGTAACACCACATGAAAACAACATGGTAGCAACACAACATGGCAGCAGCACAACATGGTAGCAGCACAAAACATGGTACAAACAGGATTGGGCACAGACAACAGCACAAAGGCAAGAAAGTAGAAACCACAATACATCACGCGAAGCCAGTCAGTTGAGAGGCATGGCTCCCCTCTGTCTGTCCGTCCGTCTGTCCGTCCGTATGTCTCTCCAGGCCCTAGCCTAGCACACGTTTAGAATGCTCATCGGGGTTCCTTTGCCATGCCTGGCCATGTGAGCGTGCTGTGGTTTCATGATAAATATAAGTTAGGATAACAAGATCCCAGAGAGGGAATGAATGGGAGCCAAATGTCTACTTGTAGGCAGGGTTAGTGGTGACATTATCAAAACAGCGATCAGGCTAATCAGGGTCTCTTTCATCTGATCTCTTCCTTATGTCCTGGCTGAACATTGTGGCCTTTGGACACATTGGCTGCGTATCATATGGCACCATTTTCCATATGTAATGGGCTCAGGTCAAAAGAAGTCCACTATCTAAGGAATAGGGGGCCATTTGGGACGCAGTCATTATTAAGCATTCAGTTAGGAAGTCGTTTCCTCTACTGAAAGTGAGGCATTCACATGCACACACTCTTTCTTCCTTTCTTATACCATCTTCCTTCCTTCTCTGTGTCTCTGTCTCTGTCTCTGTCTCTGTCTCTGTGTGTGTGTAGGGACCGTTGGAGGTAGCCCAGGTCTTTCTGAATGAGATCCCAGCGGACCCCAAGCTCTTCCGTCACCACAACAAACTGCGCCTGTGTTTCAAAGAGTTCATCATGAGGTGAGAGCCAACCCAAACACCACTGTGCAACTGCATGGCACGCCAACCAGCCAGTGATGAGAAACACATCAAACTTACACTTTGTGCTCTCACTTTTAATCTTGCTCTGACTCTTGCTTTGGGTGCAGTTCGATTCTCAAATATTTTCTCCAAAGTGTAAACTCGTTTTCAGTGCCGGCAATAGTACAATATGTGGTGAAATATACATTTCTGGTATTAATGGTTTTAAATTGTTTTAGTGGTGGCTTGAAGTACGGACACTCTATAAAATAGTACTGTCGCATGGTGGAAATGGAAAAGCAAGTGAATGACAGTAAAACCAGCTATGTATGCACCCACAGCATCTGTCTTGGTAATGCGTTATTACTGGAATACATTCCTAGGTGATACTGAAGGAAGCTAGATGTGATTTAATACAACACAACAGGACAGGCATATTAACTTGTTTTCCCTTTAATATCACTCAGCTGCATGGAACAGAAAAGCTTTATTGTTCCCTGGGGAGTTAGTTTAATTTTAGTTTGAATATTTTAAACATAATTTAAACCAACCGTCTAAACGGATGAGGCAGGGAATGTGGTGATTTGGTCCAGGGTGTGTGTCTGTGTGCGAGTGTGTATGTGTCACGCGTATTGTTTGCCTCCGAAAGGTGGCTTTAATTTTGGAACCCTCATGTCACATTCCAACTACCTTGATTGCTGCAAGCAGGCCGGCAAAAATATTTACCGTAATTTCAGAAAGGTTTATTTTCTTCCATAATCCATGCAAGTTTGCACGAGCTCATTATATTCCAAGAACCACTTCTCAAGCTGCTATTTGGGCTGGAAGGGCGATGGCTAGCTAGTAGCTACACATCAGCTGATTGGAGTTTTTTTGGGGGGTAAGTGAAATGCTTTTTTCCCCCTACCCCCCTTTTTTCCAGCAGTCCCTATGCATTTACTGTATACTGTTAGATTACATTTTCCATATTACTTGCATTTAAAGGAGAGAGATAAGTGCAAACATGTGTTTTTTAAGCAACCTCATCTTTCCATTTCCCTCTGCCTCGTTTGTTTGCCATCCATTATGCATGTTGTAATTGTGACTGCGGGCAGACCGGACCCCGTACTGTACCTGTCCTCTGAAATGAGGTTCAACCCCAGGGTACTTTGTTTGGTCATGGATCACTATACTCCCTGCCACTCTCAGCACAGTACTACAAGAGACACTTCCCTTCCTTGAGCATTGCTGTACTAAAAAAGGAGGCAAGGCTCAGAGAAAGAGCGAAAATCTAATACAGGGGGACACACAGGAGTTGTTTAACAAGGTGAAACAATTATTAAATGTCATTGTGAACTGATTTGGGGAGAAATCCATGTCGGTCACATAGTTCAGGAAATGAACTGAAATCCATGAAAAGAAAAGAAGGAAATGAAATGAATTAACACTGGATGCATGAACATCCTCATGAAGATGAATGAAAAGTAATCAGGTCAGTGGTGAGTGATGAAGGTGAGGAGAGGAAGTCGTTGAAGACTATTGAGACACAACCCACAGTATTGATATATCCCAAATGGTACCTTATTCCCTACAGTGTATATAGTACACTACAGCCCTATGGACCCTGGTCAAAAGTAGTGCACTACTGGATATAGGGAATAGGGTTCCATTTGGGACACATCCTATGTTTTATTCCCCCTGTTCCTCTGTAGGTGTGGCGAGGCTGTGGAGAAGAACAAGCACCTGATCACGTTGGACCAGAAGGAGTACCAGCAGGAGCTGAAGAAGAATTACAACCGTCTGAGAGAGAACCTGCGGCCCATGCTGGAGAGGAAGATACCCGAGCTCTACAAACCCATCAAACCACGCCTGGAGAACAGGTAACGCATCATCAAAGTGCGCAATGCAGGGTTGAGTCCAGTAGGGACCAAATGTGAGGGGAAATGTTTGGAAATGGAGGAGGTTTGGGTTACGTCCCAAATGGCACCCCATTCCCTATACCATTATGGCCCCTGGTCAAAAGTAGTGCCCTATATAGGGAAAATGGTTCCATTTGGAACACCACTGATACCTGAATATGTTTCATAAGAAAGCTAATTTTAGTTTCATGTTAATCCTATCAACAGTCCTGCTTGCTTAGGTCGTCTGAAAGAATCTGACAGCTGCTGTGTTGTATTTTCATATTGCCTATGCCACCATGGAAATCTAATTGAACAGTTTCCTCCTCTCCTCCTCTCTCTCCCCCTCCTCCTCTCCCTCTCTGCTGTACCCTCCAAAGGGATTCCATCAAACGGCTCAGTTTCCGCAGAGCACCGGAGGAAAACTCCTGAGACGGCCAGACAGATTATATATCTGAAGGAATGCTCCAGAGGCCAGAGAAGAAAGGATGCTGTAAAAATAGAAAAGGTGGCGAAGAGGGAGAGCAGAAGGGAGCTAGTGGTCCTCATTCACCATGGAAGAGCAGTACACACGATTACACAACGGAGGACTTACAATAATATCTGAATCAATAACACAGCATTGCTAGTTCTCTTGAGTTCTATGATTACTGCGAGTCCTAATGATGCTGCAAACTGCTGTGGGTTTGAGAAATAAAAGTACAAGTCCCACATTAAAGGGATACTTCAGGATTTTGGCAATGAAGCACTTTATCTACTTCCCCAGAGTCAGATGAACTTGTGCGTTTGCGCAATTGCCAACTAGCGGTAGCGCAATGACTGGAAGTCTATGGTAACCTTTGGCATGCTAGTAGATACCATAGACCTCCAGTAATTGCGCTAATGCTAGTTAGAATTGGCTCGCAAAACTACCTCCAGCTTACTTCATATTGGATGCAGAGACATAAAAATGGTGATATCTATGAGTTCATCTAACTCTGGGGCTTCATTGCCAAAATTTGGAAGTATCCCTTTAAGGTCCTTGCAGGCCCAGGGAAATGTGTGTGTGTGTGTGTGTGTGTGTGTGTGTGTGTGTGTGTGTGTGTGTGTGTGTGTGTGTGGACGTGTTTAACTATTCCAGAAATCCCCAAAAGAATAATAAACTAACAACATTTTGACCAACTGGGGACATTTGGTTAGTACCCACAAGGTCAAATGCTATTTCTAGGCGGTTTAGGGTTAAGGTTAGAATTAGTGTTTGGGTTATAATTACGTTAAGGGTTAGGGTTAGGAGCTAGGGTTAGGGTTAGGAGCTAGGGTTAGGTTTAGGGTTAAGGTTAGGTTTTTGGGTTAAGGTTAGGGTTAGGTTTAAGGTTAGGGGAAGAGTACAGGTTAGGTTTAGGGTTAGGGGTTAGGGAAAATAGGATTTTGAATGGGACTGAATTGTGTGTCCACACAAGGTTAGCTGTACGAGTGTGTGTGTGTGTGTGTACTTTCTTTTTGTCATTGTCCTGATAAATCACTTTGTTCTGACTCATGACCAATGACTGATGATAAATCACTCTGTTCTCCAACTCATGACCAATGACTGATGCTAATTCACTCTGTTCTCTGCAAAAGGGCTTCTGGACTTGTACTCATATGTGTGCAACCCTACAGACTCTCACACTGTAAAAATGTAACTCCTCAGTTAACTCGTGATGCTATATTTGTTATATATGTTTGTTAGACATAATTGGCTGTGTAGATACTCACAGAGATTAATTTATTCTGAGTTCACAAATGAGTCATGGTACATACAGTGCCTTCAGAAAGTATTCATATCCCTTAACTTATTCCACATTTTGTTGTTACCGCCTGAATTCAAAATGGATGAAATATATTATACCACATAATGACAAAGTGAAAACATGTTTTTAGACATTTTTGCCAATTTATTGAAAAATTAAATACCGAAATATTGCATTTACATAAGCATTCACACCCCTGAGTCAATACTTTGTAGAAGCACCTTTGGCAATGATTACAGCTGTGTCTTTCTGGGTAAGTCTCTACAAGCTTTACACACCTGGATTGTGCAACATTTGCCCATTTATTATTTTCAAAATTCTTCAAGCTCTGTCAAATTAGTTGTTGATCATTGCTAGACAACCATTTTCAAGACAAGTAGATTTAAGTCAAAGCTGGAACTCGGCCACTCAAGAACATGCACCTTCTTCTTGGTAAGCAACTCCAGTGTAGATTTGACCTTGTGTTTTAGGTTATTGTGCTGCTGAAAGGTGAATTCATCTTCCAGTGACTGGTGGAAAGCAGACTGAACCAGGTTTTCTTCTAGGATTTTGCCTGTGCTGGGCTCCATTCCGTTAATTTTTTATCCTGAAAAACTCCTCAGTCCTAAACGATTACAAGGATACCCATGACATGATACAGCCAGCACTATGTTTGAAAATATGGAGAGTGGTACTCCGTAATGTGTTGTATTGGATTTGTCCCAAACATAACACTTTGTTTTGGAATTTGTTTTATTCTGTTCAGGCTTCATTATTTTTACTCTGTCAATTAGGTTAGTATTGTGGAGTAACTACAATGTTGTTGATCCATCCTCAGTTGTCTACTGTTGCAGCCATTAAACTCTGTAACTGTTTTAAAATCCCCATTGGCCTCATTGTGAAATCTCTGAGCGGTTTTCTTCCTCTCCGGCAACTGAGTTAGGAAGGACGCCTGTATCTTTGTAGTGACTGGGTGTATTGATACACCATCCAAAGTGTAATTAATAACTTCACCATGCTCAAAGGGATGTTCAATATCTTTTTTTTTTTTTTTTACCCATTATCAATAGGTACCCTTGTTTGCAAACCATTGGAAGATCTCCCTGGTCTTATGGTTGAATCTGTGTTTGAAATGCACTGCTCAACTGAGCAACCTTAAAGATGTGTGGGGTACAAAATGTGGAAAAGGTGAAGGGGTGAGAATACTTTCTGAAGGCTCTGTATAACTTACCTAAGGCCACCAACCAAACCCAAGTGGCATATCAGTATTTACACAGAGATAATTAAAAGGAAAATGTTTACAGTTATGATCAATTCTTTTGTAATTTTCCTAATGAAAGTATATTTGAGATAATATACAGTATCATCACTTTAGTTGGCAATAACAATATTGAAAAAATTGTGGTTACTATGACTGAATGTGACAAAGTGAAGGCACATATTTATATAGTTAAAATACTTTTATGAAAAAACAATGTATTAGGATGCCAACAGTGCCATTCTACAATATGTTTACTGTACGAACAAAGATAGGTTAAGTATTTGCCCAGGCTCTTAATCTTCTTGTCTGTTGACGTCATGTTGTAGAACCTCATGCATTCCAATAGAGAAATCCTTTGTAATACTACTGGGAAAACTCAATACTCTGATTCTAAATACTTATGGGCATTCATTCACATTCTATTGTGTTTTGTTACAATGAAGCTGCATAGTAGTACATTAAGTCTGCGTTTACACAGGCAGCCCAATTCTGATATTTTTTTCACGAATTGGTCTTTTGACCAATCACATCACATCTTTTCACATCAGAGCTTTTTCAGAGCTAATCTGATAGGCGAAATTAGTGAAAAAAAAGATCAGAATTTGGCTGACGGTCTAAACACAGCCTAAGTTAAAGTGAGTATAGGTCTACCAATAATCACTGGAACCCTTGTTATTCCTTTTGTTGTATTTTTCATCTGTTTATCAGTGCTTTATTGAAAATGTGGGATTTTAATTCATTGTCATGCACATGTCAATGTCATGCACTTGAAGCAATTCAATTTAAAATGTGTACATCTTTCCTGTGGTCATTATTCCTCCACTAATCACTACATTATCATTAGACCTAGCATAGGCCTAGAGGACTCAGTGTTGCAAAATATATACTTTCCTCATTAGCGGCAAATGTTGGATCAATATCCACATCCAGTAACATGGATGATGCTTGAATTGGAATGTGAAGCTAACTAGCTTTAGAAGATTCTGAATATACTGTAGATCTAGCTAGATTAGCAGTATCCCTCTGCTGACCACAATATTCAGATAAGCAACCTCATCTTATTACAAGTGCTCAAGAGCTGCTTTATATATCTCCACCTGTAAGATACCAATCAATATATGTAGGTTAAAGGCGTCCGGGTTCGGTTTGTTCCTAGCAGAACTCGTCTAGGCGAAGCGAAGTCTGTGCCTCGCATATTCCCTTAATAAAAGACCTTAGCTTGAAAAAATTAGAAAAAAGCGGCAAAATTACTGTTTGTCCTTCTTAAAACGCCATAATAACATTATAGCCAAAATAGTCAATTAATCCAAGATAAAATCAAGAAATATGTAAATTATAAATGTTTACGTTTTTGCAGAGGAGGTCTTAGTCGCACAATTTTACATATAACTAAGATGTTTGTAAAAAAAAGTATAATCTAAGTATAATCTTTGTAAATGATATAATAAATAGGACTGGTGGAGTTATGTCACACATGCAGTTAACAAAAATATATGGAAATGTCTGCTCTATCCAAAATTACAACCAACTGATTGAAGCATTACCGCAAAAATGGAGGAGGCAAGTGGAAAGGGGAGAAGGGAAGGAACGTGTCTGTCGGCCCTGCATTAAAGACCAAAATTGGCTAAAGAATATTGTGATAAATAAAAGGTAGACCAGTTTCATTTAGGGACCAACAAATTGACAGATGCGCCATACAGGTTGCAAAATAGTTGGGAGGAGATTTTCGATGTACTGATTCCATGGCACATGGTTTATGAACTGATACACAAAATGACGCCGGATTCAAAACTTTTAGTTTTTCAATTTAAATTATTATACAAAATTCTTGCAAACAACAGAATGTTATATACAGTGCATTCGGAATGTATTCAGACCCCTTCCCTTTTTCCACATTTTGTTATGTTACAGCCTTATTCTAAAATAGATTAAATAAACATTTTCCTCGTCAATCTACACCCAACACCCCATAATGACAAAGCAAAAACACGTTTTTAGACATTTTTGCACATTTATTAAAAATAAAAAACAGATTTTTTACATAAGTATTCAGACCCTTTGCTATGAGACTCGAAATTGAGCTCAGGTAAATCCTGTTTCCATTGATCATCCTTGATCACAACTTGATTAGAGTCCACCTGTGGTATATTAAATTGATTGGAGATTATTTGGAAAGGCACATACCTGTCTATATAAGGTCCAACAGTTGACAGCGCATGTCAGAGCAAAAAACCAAGCCATGAGGTCGAAGAAATTGTCCGTAGAGCTCCGAGACAGGATTGTGTCGAGGCACAGATCTGGGGAAGGGTACCAAAAAATCTCTGCAGCATTGAAGGCCCCAAGAACACAGTGGCCTCATCATTCTTAAATGGAAGAAGTTTGGAACAACCTAGACTCTTCCTAGAGGTGGCCGCCCGGACAAA